ACTACGAGAGGTCATGTGATGACGTGGCAGTCTGGGTGACCATGAGAGGTCACGTGATGACGTGACCACGAGAGGTCACATGATGACGTGACAGTCTGCGTGACCATGAGAGGTCACGTGATGACGTGGCAGTCTGGGTGACCACGAGAGGTCACGTGATGACGTGACAGTCTGGGTGACCACCAGAGGTCACGTGATGACGTGGCAGTCTGGGTGACCACTAGAGGTCACGTGATGACGTGACAGTCTGGGTGACCACCAGAGGTCACATGATGACGTGGCAGTCTGGGTGACTACGAGAGGTCACGTGATGACGTGGCAGTCTGGGTGACCATGAGAGGTCACGTGATGACGTGACCACGAGAGGTCACATGATGACGTGACAGTCTGCGTGACCATGAGAGGTCACGTGATGACGTGGCAGTCTGGGTGACCACGAGAGGTCACGTGATGACGTGACAGTCTGGGTGACCACCAGAGGTCACGTGATGACGTGGCAGTCTGGGTGACCACTAGAGGTCACGTGATGACGTGGCAGTCTGCGTGACCACGAGAGGTCATGTGATGACGTGGCAGTCTGGGTGACCACCAGCGGTCACGTGATGACGTGGCAGTCTGCGTGACCACGAGAGGTCACGTGATGACGTGGCAGTGTGGGTGACCACGAGAGGTCACGTGATGACGTGGCAGTCTGGGTGACTACGAGAGGTCACGTGATGACGTGGCAGTCTGGGTGACTACGAGAGGTCACGTGATGACGTGGCAGTCTGGGTGACCACCAGAGGTCACGTGACCTGGACAGGGCAGCGAGGAGGCTTGAGGGACACGTGGTGCTGGGTGGAGAACCTTCTGCTGAGATCCAGAATGTTCGGGAGAATAAAAGGGAGGTCCCGGGAGCGATCGCGGCTGTCTTCTGGAACCAACCCGCGGTGTTACGTCTCTCCGCACTTGGGTCTTTGGTCGTCGCGTTCGGCATTGTGGGGCAGGCCGTATGTTGCTGACCTGACCCAGTTATGTAGTTACCCTGTTGTCGTCTAGTTAACCGTGGTAGTTACCACCCATGTTGTTATCCTGTGTAGGTCATGCAGTACCCCGTTGGGGTTCTAGTATAAACGTGTTGCCTCCCAGTTTAAGTGTGTGCCTCTGTAAAACCCACTACACCATCTACACCTCCATCGCCACCCACCACTCACTCACCACTCACTCACCACTCACCACCCACCACCCACCACTCACTCACCACTCACTCACTCACCACTCACTCACTCACCACTCACTCACCACTCACTCACTCACCACTCACTCACCACCCACCACTCACCACCCACCACTCACTCACTCAGCACTCACTCACCACCACTCACCCACCACCCACTCACCCACCACCCACTCACCACTCACTCACCCACCACTCACTCACTCACTCACCACTCACCCACCACTCACCACCACTCACCACCACCCACTCACTCACCACCACTCACCACCACGACTCACCACTCACTCACCACCCACCACTCACTCACCACTCACCACTCACTCACCACTCACTCACTCACCACCACTCACCACCACTCACCACTCACTCACCACTCACTCACCACTCACCACTCACTCACCACTCACTCACTCACTCACCACCACTCACCACCACTCACTCACCACTCACCACTCACTCACTCACCACTCACCACCCACCACTCACTCACCACCACTCACCACCACTCACTCACTCACCACCACTCACCACCACTCACCACCACCACTCACCAGCGACTCGTCCACGCCGCCCTCCATCTGCTTGAGGTGGCTGGTGGCCACGGCTGCAACCCACTCACCACTCACTCACCACTCACTCACCACTCACTCACCACTCACTCACCACCCACTCACTCACCATCACTCACCACCACCACCCACTCACTCACTCACTCACTCACCCACCACTCACCACCACTCACCACCACTCACTCACCACTCACCACCCACTCACTCACCACTCACCACCCACTCACTCACCACTCACCCACCACTCACTCACTCACTCACCACCACCACTCACCAGTGACTCGTCCCCCTCCACTCCACCCTCCATCTACTTGAGGTGGCTGCTGGCCACAGCCGCCAGGGCGCTGTGCGGCCACTCACTCACCACTCACTCACTCACTCACCACTCACTCACTCACCACTCACTCACTCACCACCACCACTCACCAGTGACTCGTCCCCCTCCACTCCACCCTCCATCTGCTGGAGGTGGCTGGTGGCCACAGCCGCCAGGGCGCTGTGTGGCCACTCACCACCACTCACCACCACCACCCACCACTCACCACCACTCACCACCACCACCCACCACCCACTCACTCACTCACTCACTCACCCACCACTCACCACCACTCACCACCACCACCCACCACCCACTCACTCACTCACCCACCACTCACCACCACTCACCACCACCACCCACCACCCACTCACTCACTCACCACTCACCACCACTCACCACCCCCACTCACTCACCACCACCACTCACCACTCACTCACTCACTCACCACCACCAGTGACTCGTCCCCCTCCACGCCGCCCTCCATCTGCTGGAGGTGGCTGCTGGCCACGGCTGCCAGGGCGCTGTGCGGCCACTCACTCACTCACCACTCACTCACTCACTCACCACTCACTCACCACTCACTCACCACTACTCACCACCCACTCACTCACCACTCACTCACTCACCACTCAGTCACCACTCACTCACCACTCACCACTACTCACCACCCACTCACTCACCACTCACTCATTCACCACTCACTCACTCACCACCACCACTCACCAACGACTCGTCCCCTTCCACTCCATCCTCCATCTGCTTGAGGTGGCTGCTGGCCACAGCTGCCAGGGCGCTGTGCGGCCACTCGCCGAACCAGTCGATGGTGCAGCAGTTGACCAGCGACGGGAAGCGGCGCAGGCGGGCACGGAACGTCTCACCCACGGGGCTGAGGCACACACACACACACATGTAAACACACACACACATGTACACAGTGACACACACGTACACACGTAAACACACACACACACACATGTACACAGTGACACACACGCACACACACAGTGACACACAAAAACATACAGTGACACACACAGTGACACACAGACACAGTGACACACACAGTGACGCAGACACAGTGACACACACACAGTGACACACACACAGTGACACACACACACACACAGTGACACACACACACACAGTGACACACACAGTGACACACACAGTGACACACACACACAGTGACACACACAGTGACACACACACAGTGACACACACAGCGACACACACAGTGACACACACACAGTTAGTGTCACACACAGTGACACACACAGTGACACACACACACAGTGACACACACAGTGAGTGTCACACACACACAGTGACACACACAGTGACACACACAGTGTCACACACACAGTGACACACACAGTGAGTGTCACACACACAGTGACACACACACACAGTGACACACACAGTGACACACACACACACAGTGACACACACACAGTGACACACAGTGACACACACACACAGTGACACACACAGTGACACACACAGTGTCACACACACAGTGACACACACAGTGTCACACACACAGTGACACACACACACAGTGACACACACAGTGACACACACACACACAGTGACACACACACAGTGACACACAGTGACACACACATACAGTGACACACACTGACACGTACACACACACACAGTGACACACACAGTGACACACAGTGACACGCACCTCATGCACAGCACGACGTGCAAGTTGCAGCGAACTCGCCGCGCGAACGTGGCGAGCAGGTTGGACTTGGTGGGCGCCAGCCCCAGCTGCAGCACCAGCGGCTGCATGGCGACCAGCACCGCGTCCGTCTCCTCCACGCCCAGCGCGCCCGGCACGGAGCCACAGTTCAGCAAACTGTTGATGTCCTCCAGGAACGACTCGCAAGTGATCTGGAGCAGCAGCAGCAGCAGCGGCAGCAGTGGCGTCATTGTTGTTGACATCATCATCATTGACATCATCATCGTCATCATCGTTGTCATTGACATCAAAGTCATCGTCATTGACATCATCATTGTCATCATTATCATCGTTGTCATTGACATCATTGTCATCATTGTCATCATCATCATCGTTGTCATTGACATCATCGTCATCAATGTTATCATCATCGTCATCATCATCACCGTCATCGTCATTGTTATCATCATCATCGTCATCATCGTCACTGTCATCACTGTCATCATCATCGTCATTTTCATCATCATCATCATCATCATCGTCGTCATCATTATTGACATCACTGTCATCATCGTTACTGTCATCATTGTCATCATCATCATCGTCATTGACATTATCATCGTCATCATAATCATTGTCATCATTATTGACATCATTGATATCATCATCGTCATCATCATCATCATCGTCATCATCACCGTCATCATCATCATTGTCATCATCATCATTATCATTGTCATCATCATCATTATTGACATCATTGACATCACTGTCATCATCATCACTGTCATCATCATCACTGTCATCATCATCACTGTCATCATCATCACTGTCATCATCATCATCATTGTCATCATCATCATCACTGTCATAATTGTCATCATCATCATCATTATGGACATCATTGTCATTGACATCACTGTCATCATCGTCATCATCATCATCGTCATTGTCATCATCATCATCGTCATGATCATCATCACCGTCATTGTCTGAGTAGACACAGTGAGAGACTTGGCACCGTGGGCTGACCTGCGTGTCAGTGAGCAGGAAGGCCGTGTGGATGTTCTCTACGCCGGCCTTCATCATGACGCGCTGCAGGTCCTGACGCCACTCAGACACCCCGTAGCTCCTGGTCAGCTCGATCTGCACACACTCAAACTCACATCTACATCACCATCACCACCATCATCAACAACATCAACAACATCACTACCATCACCACCACTACCATCACCAACATCATCACCACCATCACCACCACCATCACCATCATCATCGTAGCTCCTGGTCAGCTCGATCTGCACACACTCAAACTCGCATCTACATCACCACCATCAACATCACCATCAACATCACTATCAACATCAACATCACTACCATCACTACCATCATCATCGTAGCTCCTGGTGAGCTCGATCTGCACACACTCAAACTCACATCTGAGACATCATCGTCACTATCATCACCATCATCACTACCATCACCATCACCACCATCAACATCACTATCATCATCATCATCAACATCACTACCATCATCGTAGCTCCTGGTGAGCTCGATCTGCACACACTCAAACTCGCATCTACATCACCATCATCACCATCACTACCATCATCATCACTACCATCACTACCATCATCATAGCTCCTGGTCAGCTCGATCTGCACACACTCAAACTCGCATCTACATCAACATCACCATCAACATCACTATCAACATCAACATCATCACCATCATCACTACCAACATCACTGTCACCACCATCACCATCATCACCATCACCACCACCAACACCATCACCACCATCATCATCATCAACATCATTATCACCATCATCACCATCACCACCACCACCACCACCATCATCAACATCATCATCACCACCATCACCACCATCATCATCACCACCATCAACATCATCACCACCATCACCATCATCACCATCAATACCATCACCACCATCACCACCACTACCATCGTCATCACCACCATCACTACCATCAACATAATCACCACCACTACCATCATGATCATCACTACCATCACCATCATCACCATTACTACCATCACTACCATCACCACCATCATCATTATCACTACCATCATCACTATTATCATCACAACCATCACTACCATCTGAACCAGCATTACCATCACTACCATCATCACGATCATCATTACCATCAGAAACAGCATTAACATCCCTCCCATTATCATTACCATCATTACCAACGTCAATACCAACACCATCACGACTACCACCATCACTACCATCATCATCACCATCACTATGATCACCACCATCATCACTATCACCACAACGACGTGTGTGTATGTGTATACATGTGCGTGTGTCTGTCTGCTACAGCAGAGGTGTAGGGAATTCCAACAAGACCTACATCTCTGCTTTATTGACCTGGTCCAGGCCTATGACACCATCAGTAGGCCTGGGCTCTGGGTTGTTCTTCGTGCGTTCGGAGTCCATGACTCTCTGCTCACGATCATTAAGGACCTTCATGATGGTGAGCGGGCCCGGGTAAAACTACGTGGCCGGGAGTCAGAGCCATTCCCTGTACACCTTGGGGTGCGACAGGGATGTCCTCTGGCTCCCACATTATTTAACATATTTTTCGACCGCGTAGTTCGTGAAACCTTTAATGGCTGTACGGGAGAAATTTCCATCTAGTACAGATACAATGGGAGGTTGATCGATGCCTGGGTGCGGTCAAGGGATGGCTCCCTATTGGTCAACCACCTTACGTATGCCGATGATCTGGTAATTGCTGCTTACTCAGAGGAGGAGTTGGAGGCGCTGCTGCTGAACCTGGAGCTTGCGACTAAGAGGTGGGGCCTTACCATCAGCCCCACTAAAACTAAGCACCTGCCTGGGTATTTTGTATCATTGGACACTCCACCCCCACAACTCTCAATTGGTGATGGGGCAGTTGTGCAGAGAGTGGAGAGATTGCCATACCTGGGCAGTGTGCTTATAACCACCTCCGGTTTGACAGCAGAGGTATCAGTCCGAATCAGTCGAGCAGCATTATCTTTTCATCGGTTGCGTAACGCTGTGTGGACGCTACCTGGTCTGTTGCTCCGCACGAAGCATCAGGTCTTCTCGGCCATGGTCATTCCCTCCCTTCTCTACGCTTGCGAAACGTTCACCCCCCCTAATGGAACATCTTCGCCGGTAAGAAACATTTAGGCTGGCCTGCCTACGATCCATCCTGGGTTTAACCAGGCTGGATTGTGTGAGGAGCTCACAAATCCTTGAAAGATCTGGAGAAAGTCCCATCGGTGAGCTCCTCCGGCACTCAAGGCTGCGTTGGCTGAGTCATGTAGCCCGCATGCCCAGCCACCGCATGCCTAGACAGCTTTTGTTCGGCCAGATAGAGGGGGCTAAATGGCCGCGGCACGGGCTAGAGAAGAGATGGAGTGATGTGGTACAGGATGATGTGGAGCTGAGTGGACTTGCCGATGACTGGTACCAGCGGTGTCAAGATCGGCCTCTGTGGAGGAGGCTCGTGAAGGACGCTACTGGGCAGTTGGAGGCAGTCGCCCTCCAACAACAACGGAGGGCGGAGGAGCGACGCTCACAACAACGAGCGGAGCGCTGGGTGGCTAAAGCACAGCAAGTTGGCACAGTAGGGGGCCCAGGTGGTGCATCAGCCAGTCATCTCGGTCATCTTGGTCAGTCGACCCGTGGCACCTGCTGGGTCTGCCCCGTGACCTCCTGCCAGCGGGCGTTCGACACTTCATGTGGCCTCAATGTGCACATGGCCTGGCACAAGCGTCGTGGTGACGTCACCGCCACTTAGTGGTGAATGGCGGTTGTTGTGTATCTGTGTGTGTGTATATGTGTGTGTGTGTATCTGTGTATATGTGTGTGGCTGTTGTTATTATTGTTGTGTATGTGTGTGTGTGTGCGTACATGTGGGCGGCGAGGCGAGCGAGCGACTGCCTCCCGCTGCCCCCCACCCCGAGCAGCAGGGCGCTGCCCAGGGGCTGGCGCAGGACGCGCGCCACGCGGCACACGTGACGCACCGCCGCCTCAAACAGCACCAGCGGCGCCACCGCTCGCGACGCGCTCAGCTCCTCCTGCGCCTCCTGCATCACATGCACCACCTGCACACACGTGGTGACACACAGAGTGGTGACCCGCAGAGTGGTGACATGCAGAGACACAGAGACACAGAGTCACAGAGACACAGAGTCACAGAGTCACAGAGTCACAGAGTGACACGCAGAGTGGTGACACGCAGAGTCACAGAGACACAGAGTCACAGAGACACAGAGACACAGAGTCACAGAGACACAGAGACACAGAGACACAGAGTCACAGAGACACAGAGTCACACGCAGAGTGGTGACACGCAGAGTCACAGACAGAGTGGTATACACATAGTGTATACCACTCTGTCTCTCTCTCTGTGTCTGTCTGTGTCTGTGTCTCTCTCTCTGTCTCTCTGTGTCTCTCTGTCTCTCTCTCTGTGTCTCTCTGTCTCTCTATGTGTCTCTCTGTCTCTCTGTGTTTCCGTGCCTCCGTCTCTCTCTGTCTCTCTCTGTGTCTCCGTCTCTCTCTGTCTCTCCGTGTCTCTCTCTGTCTCTCTGTCTCTCTGTGTCTCTCTGTCTCTCTGTGTTTCTGTGTCTCTCTGTCTCTCTCTCTGTGTCTCTCTGTGTCTCTCTGTGTCTCTATGTGTCTCTGTCTCTCTCTGTCTCTCTCTGTCTCTCTCTCTGTGTCTCTCTGTGTCTCTCTGTCTCTCTCTGTGTCTCCGTGTCTCTCTCTCTGTCTCTCTCTGTCTCTCTGTGTCTCTGTGTCTCTGTGTGTCTCTGTGTCTCCGTGTCTCTGTGTCTCTCTCTCTGTCTCTCTCTGTCTCTCTGTGTCTCTGTGTCGCTGTGTCTCTCTCTCTCTGTGTCTCTGTGTCTCTGTGTCTCTGTGTCTCTCTCTGTGTCTTTCTCTCTCTCTGTGTCTCCGTGTCTCTGTGTGTCTCTCTCTGTGTGTCTCTCTCTGTGTCTCTCTGTCTCTCTCTCTCTCTCTCTGTGTCTCTGTGTCTCTGTCTCTCTCTGTCTTTCTCCGTGTCCCTGTCCACCTGTCTGCGTCCACCTACCCGCTGGTAGTCTGCCATCAGCTGGTAGCTCCTCTCCCCGCCGGGCGCCGCAAAGTCCCCGTAGAGGTGCGGCTCCTCGCCGGGCACGGCGGCGGCGAGCGGCACGCCGAAGTCGCCGACGACGCGGCCTTCCAGCTGGGCGGCGAGCCACCGGTGGTCAGCGTCACTCACCAGACGGTCGCCGAAGACGCGGCAACACTCGTGGTGCCACAGGCCCAGCAGCGTCGGCACATCCTGGTGGTGGGGGTGGTGGTGGTGGTGGAGGAGGTGGTGATGGGGGTGGTGGTGGTGGTGGTGTGGGTGGTGGTGGTGGTGGGGGTGGTGGCGGTGGTGGAGGTGGTGGTGGTGGTGGGGGTGGTGGTGGTGGTGGCAGTGGTGGTGGTGGTGGAGGAGGTGGTGGTGGGGGTGGTGGTGTTGGGGGTGGTGGTGGTGGTGGTGGTGGGAGTGGTGGTGGTGGTGGTGGAGGTGTTGGTGGTGGTGGTGGAGGAGGAGGTGTTGGTGGTGTGGGTGGTGGTGGTGTTAGTGGTGGTGACGGTGGTGGCGGTGGAGGAGGAGGTGGTGTTGGTGGTGGAGAAGGTGGTGGTGGAGGAGGAGGGAAGTGGTGTTGGTGGTGGTGACGGTGGTGGTGAAGAAGGTGGTGGTGGAGGAGGGAGGTGGTGTTGGTGGTGGAGGAGGAGGGAGGTGGTTGTGGTGGTGGTGGTCGTGGAGAGAGGAGGAGGCGGTCATGGTGGTGATGGTGGAGGAGGAGGGAGGTGGTGTTGGTGGTGGTCATGGTGGTGACGATGGTGGCGGTGTTGGTGGTGGAGGAGGAGGAGCAGGAGGAGGAGGAGGAGGTGGAGGAGGTGGTGTTGGTGGCGGTGATGGTGGTGGTGTTGGTGGTGGTGTTGGTGGTGGTGATGGTGACAGTGAAGGAGATGGAGGGGAGGTGCGGGGAAAGGACAAACTAAAGGTAACAGCAACAACAACATCAAGCAGCAGCAGCAGCAGTTCTGAAGACATGAGTTGTCAAGCCAGATGGTGATGACGGTGATGATGATGATGACGGTGATGATGATGATGACGGTGATGATGACGATGGTGATGATGATGGTGATGATGATGATGATCATCTGATCTTTCATAGCCACTGGCGGCTTCCTAAGCAGGAGCCGTACCCAGTGACAACAACAACAACACAACAACAACAACCGCCATTCGCCACTAAGTGGTGGTGACGTCACCACGACGCTTGTGCCAGGCCATGTGCACCTTGAGGCCACGTGAAGTGTCGAACGCCCGCTGGCAGGAGGTTACGGGGCCGACCCAGTTGCCACGGGTCGACTGACCGAGATGACCGAGATAACTGGCTGATGCACCACTTGTGCCCCCTACTGTGCCAACTTGCTGTGCTTTAGCCACCCGGCACTCCGCTCGTTGTTATGAGCGTCGCTCCTCCGCCCTCCGTTGTTGTTGGAGGGCTACTGCCTCCAACTGCCCAGTAGCGTCCTTCACGAGCCTCCTCCACAGAGGCCGATCTTGACACCGCTGGTACCAGTCATCGGCAAGTCCACTCAGCTCCACGTCCTCCTGTACCACATCACTCCATCTCTTCTCGAGTCCGTGCCGCACCCGTTTAGCCCCCTCGATCCGGCCGAACAAAAGCTGTTTAGGCATGCGGTGGCTGGGCATGCGGGCTACATGACCCAGCCAACGCAGCCTTGCCTGCCGGAGGAGCTCACCGATGGGACTTTGCCCAGATCTTTCAAGGATTTGTGAGCCCCTCACACAATCCATCCTGGGTAAACCCAGGATGGACCGTAGGCAGGCCATGCTAAATGTTTCTAACCAGCGAAACAACCTCCTACCTCCTCGCGGTGCCGGACGGGCAACTCTGTCGTGGACAGTGCTGTGGGGGGAGGGCCAATGCCTCATTGGCCTCTTACCTCATGACGTCTGTGACCACCACAGTGGCTAAACGGGGGCTCTGGATGGGTGCGAGGGGCTGGTAACCCCTCCACCTTCAATTAATTACCACAAAACTACGAATTAAACAGTGACACACACACACAGTTACCGACCCTACACACCTTGACCTTGGCGGCATCCGCCATGAGCATGCCCTGGAAGAGTCGTGAGAGGTCGCGCAGGTTGAACGTGTAGTGGCAGCGTGCCGGCGTGGGTAGCAGCTGGGCCGACACGGCCGCGTAGACGGACAGAGTGGAGGCCACCAGCCGCTCCGTGACCTCCAGCAGAGCCGGCTCTGACCCTGAGAGACGCAGGGAGCGGGGGGGGGGAGACCCTGTAGACTCAGCACTGTGACATAGACTCAGCACTGTGACATAGACTCAGCACTGTGACATAGACTCAGCACTGTCTATAGACTCAGCACTGTCTATAGACTCAGCACTGTCACACAGACTCAGCACTGTCTATAGACTCAGCACTGTGACACAGACTCAGCACTGTCACATAGACTCAGCACTGTCTATAGACTCAGCACTGTGACACAGACTCAGCACTGTCACACAAACTCAGCACAGTCTATAGACTCAGCACTGTCACACAGACTCAGCACTGTCTACAGACTCAGCACTGTCACACAGACTCAGCACTGCACCATAGACTCAACACTGTCTATAGACTCAGCACTATGACACAGACTCAGCACTGTCACACAGACTCAACACTGTCTATAGACTCAGCAGTGTCACACAGACTCAGCACAACCCATAGACTCAACACTGCACCATAAACTCAACACTGCCCTATAGACTCAACACTACCCATAGACTCAACACTGCCCATAGACTCAACACTACCCATAGACTCAACACTGCCCATAGACTCAACACTACCCATAGGCTCAACACTGCCCATAGACTCAACACTACCCATAGACTCAACACTGCACCATAGACTCAACACTACCCATAGACTCTGACACTGCACCATAGACTCAACACTGCCCATAGACTCAACACTGCCCATAGACTCAACACTGCCCATAGACTCAACACTAACCCATAGACTCAACACTGCACCATAGACTCAACACTGCCCATAGACTCAACACTGCCCATAGACTCAACACTGCCCATAGACTCAACACTGCCCATAGACTCAACACTGCCCATAGACTCAACACTGCACCATAGACTCAACACTGCCCATAGACTCAACACTACCCATAGACTCAACACTGCCCATAGACTCAACACTACCCATAGACTCAACACTACCCATAGACTCAACACTGCCCATAGACTCAACACTGCCCATAGACTCAACACTGAACCATAGACTCAACACTGCACCATAGACTCACCACTAGCACCATAGACTCAACACTGCACCATAGACTCAACACTGCCCATAGACTCAACACTGCACCATAGACTCAACACTGCACCATAGACTCAAAACTGCCCATAGACTCAACACTGCCCATAGACTCAACACTGCCCATAGACTCAACACTGCACCATAGACTCAACACTGCCCATATACTCAACACTACCCATAGACTCAACACTACCCATAGACTCAACACTGCCCATAGACTCAACACTGCCCATAGACTCAACACTGCACCATAGACTCAACACTGCCCATAGACTCACCACTGCACCATAGACTCAACACTGCACCATAGACTCAACACTGCCCATAGACTCAACACTGCACCATAGACTCAACACTACCCATAGACTCAACACTGCACCATAGACTCAACACTGCCCATAGACTCACCACTGCACCATAGACTCAACACTGCACCATAGACTCAACACTGCCCATAGACTCAACACTGCACCATAGACTTAACACTGCCCATAGACTCACCACTGCACCAAAGACTCAACACTGCACCATAGACTCAACACTGCCCATAGACTCAACACTGCCCATAGACTCAACACTGTCACACAGACTCAGCACTGCCCCCCCACCACTCCACTCACTCAGCACTGGCCCCCCACCCCCACTCACTCAGCACTGCCCCCCCCCCCACTCACTCAGCACTGCCCCCCCCCCCCACTCACTCAGCACTGCCCCCCCCCCACTCACTCAGCACTGCCCCCCCCACTCCACTCACTCAGCACTGCGCCCCCCCCACTCCACTCACTCAGCACTGCCCCCCCCACCCCATTCCACTCACTCAGCACTGTCACACAGACTCAGCACTGTCTATAGACTCACTCAGCACTGCCCCCCCCCCACTCCATTCACTCAGCACTGCCCATAGACTCAGCACTGCCCCCCCCCCACTCCACTCACTCAGCACTGTGACACAGACTCAGCACTGCCCCCCCCCACTCACTCAGCACTGCCCCCCCCCCACTCCACTCACTCAGCACTGCCCCCCCCACTCACTCAGCACTGCCCCCCCCCACTCACTCAGCACTGCCCCCCCCACTCCACTCACTCAGCACTGCCCCCCCCCCACTCACTCAGCACTGCCCCCCCCCACTCCACTCACTCAGCACTGCACCATAGACTCAGCACTGCTCACTCAGCACTGTGACACAGACTCAGCACTGCACCCCTACCCCCACTCACTCAGCACTGCCCCCCCCACTCCACTCACTCAGCACTGCCCCCCCCCTCTCCACTCACTCAGCACTGCCCCCCCCCACTCCACTCACTCAGCACTGCCCCCCCCCCACTCCACTCACTCAGCACTGCACCATAGACTCAGCACTGCCCATAGACTCAGCACTGCCCCCCCCCCACTCCACTCACTCAGCACTGTGACACAGACTCAGCACTGCCCCCCCCCCACTCACTCAGCACTGCCCCCCCCCCACTCCACTCACTCAGCACTGCCCCCCCCCCCCACTCACTCAGCACTGCCCCCCCCCCCACTCCACTCACTCAGCACTGCCCCCCCCCCTACTCACTCAGCACTGCCCCCCCCCCACTCCCCTCACTCAGCACTGCCCCCCCCCACTCCACTCACTCAGCACTGCCCCCCCCCACACCACTCACTCAGCACTGTGACACAGACTCAGCACTGTGACACAGACTCAGCACTGCCCCCCCCCCACTCACTCAGCACTGCCCCCCCCCACTCCACTCCCTCAGCACTGCCCCCCCCCCCACTCCACTCCCTCAGCACTGCCTCCCCCCACTCCACTCACTCAGCACTGCCCCCCCCACTCCACTCCCTCAGCACTGCCCCCCCCCACTCCACTCCCTCAGCACTGCCCCCCCCCACTCCACTCCCTCAGCACTGCCCCCCCCCACTCCACTCACTCAGCACTGCCCCCCCCCCACTCCACTCCCTCAGCACTGCCCCCCCCCACTCCACTCACTCAGCACTGCCCCCCCCCACTCCACTCACTCAGCACTGTGACAGAGACTCAGCACTGCCCCCCCCCACTCCACTCCCTCAGCACTGCCCCCCCCCCCACTCACTCACTCAGCACTGTGACACAGACTCAGCACTGCCCATAGACTCAGCACTGCCCCGCCCCCCCCCCCACTCCCCTCACTCAGCACTGCTCCCCCCCCACTCCACTCACTCAGCACTGCCCCCCCCCACTCCCCTCACTCAGCACTGCTCCCCCCCCACTCCACTCACTCAGCACTGCTCCCCCCCCACTCCACTCACTCAGCACTGTGACACAGACTCAGCACTGCCCCCCCCCCCACTCACGCAGCACTGCCCCCCCCACTCCACTCACTCAGCACTGCCCCCCCCCCACTCCACTCACTCAGCACTGCCCCCCCCCACTCCACTCACTCAGCACTGCACCATAGACTCAGCACTGCCCCCCCCCCCCACTCCACTCACTCAGCACTGTGACACAGACTCAGCACTGCCCCCCCCCCACTCACGCAGCACTGCCCCCCCCCCACTCACGCAGCACTGCCCCCCCCCACTCCACTCACTCAGCACTGCCCCCCCCCCACTCCACTCACTCAGCACTGCCCCACCCCCACTCCACTCACTCAGCACTGCCCATAGACTCAGCACTGCCCCCCCACTCCACTCACTCAGCACTGCCCCCCCCCCACTCCACTCACTCAGCACTGTGACACAGACTCAGCACTGCCCCCCCCCACTCACGCAGCACTGCCCCCCCCACTCCACTCACTCAGCACTGTGACACAGACTCAGCACTGCCCCCCACTCCACTCACTCAGCACTGCCCCCCCCACTCCACTCACTCAGCACTGCCCCCCCCCACTCCACTCACTCAGCACTGCCCCCCCCCACTCCACTCACTCAGCACTGCACCATAGACTCAGCACTGCCCCCTCCCCCCACTCACTCAGCACTGCCCCCCCCCCCACTCCACTCACTCAGCACTGTGACACAGACTCAGTACTGCCCCCCCCCCACTCACGCAGCACTGCCCCCCCCCCCACTCACGCAGCACTGCCCCCCCCCCACTCCACTCACTCAGCACTGCCCCCCCCCACTCACTCAGCACTGCCCCCCCCCCCACTCACTCAGCACTGCCCCCCCCCACTCCACTCACTCAGCACTGCCCATAGACTCAGCACTGCCCCCCCACTCCACTCACTCAGCACTGCCCCCCCCCCACTCCCCTCACTCAGCACTGCCCATAGACTCAGCACTGCCCCCCCACTCCACTCACTCAGCACTGCCCCCCCCCACTCCACTCACTCAGCACTGTGACACAGACTCAGCACTGCCCCCCCCCCATTCCACTGACTCAGCACTGCCCCCCCCCCACTCCACTGACTCAGCACTGCCCCCCCCCCCACTCCACTGACTCAGCACTGCCCCCCCCCCCACTCCACTGACTCAGCACTGCCCCCCCCCACTCCACTCACTCAGCACTGCCCCCCCCCACTCCACTCACTCAGCACTGTGACACAGACTCAGCACTGCCCCCCCCCCCCCACTCCACTCACTCAGCACTGCCCATAGACTCAGCACTGCCCCCCCACTCCACTCACTCAGCACTGCCCCCCCACTCCACTCACTCAGCACTGCCCCCCCCACTCCACTCACTCAGCACTGCCCCCCCCCCACTCCACTCACTCAGCACTGTGACACAGACTCAGCACTGCCCCCCCCCCCCCACTCCACTCACTCAGCATTGTGACACAGACTCAGCACTGCCCCCCCCCCACTCACTCACTCAGCACTGTGACACAGACTCAGCACTGCCCCCCCCCCACTCACGTGTCCAGCTCCGCAGGATGGTGCTGAAGACGGCGCTGCGGCTGTCGTCGTCGAGCTCGGGGAAGGAGAGCAGGTGGAAGTGTCGCAGCAAGCGGGGGCTGACCACGTGACGCCCCCCCCCTGGGGGGCCCATGGAGCACACCAGGGTCACGTCCACCAGCTGGCGGAACTCACCTGGGGGAGGGGGGGGAGGGGGGGTGAGAGGAGGGTGAGAGGAGGGAGAGGGGAGGGGAGGAGGGTGGGAGGGAGGGGGGGAGGGGGGAGGGGAGGGAGGAGGTGGAGGGGAGATACGTGGGGGGGGGGAGGGGGGGATAGAGGGAGGGAGGGTGGCAGAGAGGGGGGAAGGGAGGGAAAAAGGGAGGGAGGGAGGGGGGGATAGATGGAGGGGAGGGAGGGGGGGTGGGGAGAGTGGGAGGGAGGGGGGGAGAGCAGGGGGAGGGAGGGAGGGAGGGAGGAAGGGATGGGGGGATAGAGGGAGGGGAGAGAGGGAGGGGGGAGGGGAGGGTGAGAGGGGGGAGGGGAGAGAAGGGGGGGGCAGGTGGGAAGGGGGGAGGGAGGGGAGACGCGGGGGGGGGGGGGGGGAGAATGGGGGGAGACACGTGGGAGTGGTAGATGGCCTCTAGAAGACTGTCAGGGCAAGGTGCTGTCAGTAGCAGCAGCAGCAGCAGCGTCTATGGAGGCTGCCGGCACTGTGGCACCACACACAGAGGGGTGGGTGACCAGCACCACCACCACCTCTCCTCACCGATGCGCCTCACGTCGTACCACCCCCCCTGGTCCAAGAGCTGCCGCAGCAGCTCGAGGGGCGGCTGGGCCCCGTAGGCGTCGGGCGCCGCCAAGTTCACGTCCTCCACGCAGAGCGCCAGCCGCTTGCCCAGCGCAGGGCCAAACACCCCCTTGCGCCTGGGGGGAGAGGGGGGGGGAGAGGGGAGGGAGGAGAGGGGGGGGAGAGGGGGGAGGGAGTGTGGTGGTGGTGGTGGTAGTGTGGTGGTGGTAGTGTGGTGGTGGTAGTGTGGTGGTGGTAGTGTGGTGGTAGTGTGGTGGTGGTGGTAGTGTGGTGGTGGTAGTGTGGTGGTGGTAGTGTGGTGGTGGTAGTGTGGTGGTAGTGGTGGTGGTGTGGTGGTGGTGGTAGTGTGGTGGTGGTAGTGTGGTGGTAGTGTGGTGGTGGTGGTGGTAGTGTGGTGGTGTGGTGGTGGTGGTAGTGTGGTGGTAGTGTGGTGGCGGTAGTGTGGTGGTGGTAGTGTGGTGGTAGTAGTGGTGGTGTGGTGGTGGTGGTAGTGTGGTGGTAGTGTGGTGGTGGTAGTGGTAGTGTGGTGGTGGTAGTGTGGTGGTAGTAGTGGTGGTGTGGTGGTGGTGGTAGTGTGGTGGTAGTGTGGTGGTGGTGGTAGTGTGGTGGTAGTGTGGTGGTGGTGGTGGTGGTAGTGTGGTGGTGTGGTGGTGGTGGTAGTGTGGTGGTAGTGTGGTGGTGGTAGTGTGGTGGTGGTGGTGGTGGTAGTGTGGTGGTGTGGTGGTGGTGATAGTGTGGTGGTAGTGTGGTGGTGGTAGTGTGGTGGTGGTAGTGTGGTGGTAGTAGTGGTGGTGTGGTGGTGGTGGTAGTGTGGTGGTAGTGTGGTGGTGGTAGTGGTAGTGTGGTGGTGGTAGTGTGGTAGTAGTAGTGGTGGTGTGGTGGTGGTGGTAGTGTGGTGGTAGTGTGGTGGTGGTGGTAGTGTGGTGGTAGTGTGGTGGTGGTGGTGGTGGTAGTGGTAGTGTGGTAGTTTGGTGGTGGTGGTGTGGTGGTAGTGGTGGTAACTCACCGCTTGTCTGTCTTGCTGTCCACAAACTCCTGAGTCTGTGCTGCTGTGGTGCGCGCCGAGAAGCTGAGGAAGTGAGTGACGAACGCCGGCGGCATCCCGCCCAGAAGCAGCGACGAGAGCGTCAGGGACTTGCCGGTCCCAGTGGGGCCCACACAGAGTACCTGGTAGAGATACATAGAGATACATAGACACCCATAGAGACACATAGAGATACATAGAGACTCATAGAGACACATAGAGACACATAGAGACACATAGAGACTCATAGAGATACATAGAGATAGATAAAGATACATAAAGATACGTACAGTGAGGGAAAAAAAGTATTTGATCCCCTGCTGATTTTGTACGTTCGCCTACTGACAAAGAAATGATCAGTCTATAACTTTAATGATAGGTTTATTTGAACAATGAGAGACAGAATAACAACAACAAAATCCAGAAAAACGCATGTCAAAAATGTTATAAATTGATTTGCATTTTAATGATGGAAATAAGTATTTGACCCCCTTCCAAACTCTCCACCATGGCAAAGACCAAAGAGCTATCCAAGGATGTCAGGGACAAGATTGTAGACCTACACAAGGCTGGAATGGGCTACAAGACCATCGCCAAGCAGCTTGGTGAGGTGAAAACAGTTGGTGCGATTATTCGCAAATGGAAGAAACACAAAAGAACTGTCAATCTCCCTTGGCCTGGGGCTCCATGCAAGATCTCACCTCGTGGAGTTGCAATGATCATGATAACGGTGAGGAATCAGCCCAGAACTACACGGGAAGATCTGTCAATGATCTCAAGGCAGCTGGGACCATAGTCATCAAGAAAACAGTTGGTAACACACTACGCCGTGAAGGACTGAAATCCTGCAGCGCCCGCAAGGTCCCCCTGCTCAAGAAAGCACATATACATGCCCGTCTGAAGTTTGCCAATGAACATCTGAATGATTCAGAGGACAACTGGGTGAAAGTGTTGTGGTCAGATGAGACCAAAATGGAGCTCTTTGGCATCAACTCAACTCGCCGTGTTTGGAAGAGGAGGAATGCTGCCTATGACCCCAAGAACACCATCCCCACCATCAAACATGGAGGTGGAAACATTATGCTTTGGGGGTGTTTTTCTGCTAAGGGGACAGGACAACTTCACCGCATCAAAGGGACGATGGACGGGGCCATGTACCGTCAAATCTTGGGTGAGAACCTCCTTTCCTCAGCCAGGGCATTGAAAATGGGTCGTGAATGGGTATTCCAGCATGACAATGACCCAAAACACACGGCCAAGGCAACAAAGGAGTGGCTCAAGAAGAAGCACATTAAGGTCCTGGAGTGGCCTAGCCAGTCTCCAGACCTTAATCCCATAGAAAATCTGTGGAAGGAGCTGAAGGTTCGAGTTGCCAAACGTCAGCCTCGAAACCTTAATGACTTGGAGAAGATCTGCAAAGAGGAGTGGGACAAAATCCCTCCTGAGATGTGTGCAAACCTGGTGGCCAACTATAAGAAACGTCTGACCTCTGTGATTGCCAACAAGGGTTTTGCCACCAAGTACTAAGTCATGTTTTGCAGAGGGGTCAAATACTTATTTCCCTCATTAAAATGCAAATCAATTTTTAACATTTTTGACATGCGTTTTTCTGATTTTTGTTGTTGTTATTGTTCAAATAAACCTACCATTAAAATTATAGACTGATCATTTCTTTGTCAGTGGGCGAACGTACAAAATCAGCAGGGGATCAAATACTTTTTTCCCTCACTGTACATACATAGAGACTCATAGAGGCACATAGAGATACATAGAGACACATAGAGATACATAGAGATACATAGAGTGCGTGAGTGATGAGTGAGTGAGTGATGAGTGGGTGGGTGAGTGGGTGAGTGAGTGAGTGTGTGAGTGGTGAGCGGGTGAGTGAGTGAGTGAGTGGGAGAGTGTGTGTGTGTGGTGAGTGGGTGAGTGAGTGAGTGTGTGAGTGAGTGGGTGAGTGATGAGTGGGTGAGTGATGAGTGAGTGTGTGAGTGAGTGGGTGAGTGATGAGTGTGTGGTGAGTGAGTGAGTGTGTGAGTGGTGAGCGGGTGAGTGAGTGAGTGAGTGAGTGGGTGAGTGTGTGTGTGTGGTGAGTGGGCGAGTGAGTGAGTGTGTGAGTGAGTGGGTGAGTGATGAGTGGGTGAGTGATGAGTGAGTGTGTGAGTGAGTGGGTGAGTGATGAGTGGGTGAGTGACTGCGTGAGTGGGTGAGTGAGTGATGAGTGAGTGAGTGATGAGTGAGTGAGTGGGTGTGTGGGTGAGTGAGTCTCCGAGTGAGTCTATGAGTGAGTGAGTCTCTGAGTGAGTCTATGAGTGAGTGAGTGATGAGTGGGTGAGTGAGTGGGTGAGTGTGTGTGTGTGGTGAGTGGGTGAGTGAGTGTGTGAGTGAGTGGGTGAGTGATGAGTGGGTGAGTGATGAGTGAGTGTGTGAGTGAGTGGGTGAGTGATGAGTGGGTGAGTGACTGCGTGAGTGGGTGAGTGAGTGATGAGTGAGTGAATGATGAGTGAGTGAGTGGGTGTGTGGGTGAGTGAGTCTCTGAGTGAGTCTATGAGTGAGTGAGTCTCTGAGTGAGTCTATGAGTGAGTGAGTGTGAGTGGTGAGTGTGAGTGGTGAGTGTGAGTGGTGAGTGTGAGTGACTGCGTGAGTGAGTGTTTGAGTGAGTGGGTGAGTGAGTGATGAGTGAGTGGGTGGGTGAGTGTGTGTGGTGAGTGGTGAGCTACTCACCGGCTTGTGATTGGTGAGCAGCAGGTGAATGAGGTGAGTCATCCTCAGCGTGTCCATCGTGGGCACCACGATGTCAGTGAAGGGGGTGCCGGGAGCCACCGTGAACTCCGCCACCCCCACCATCCATCCCACCCATCGCACCTGCACGCACACAGCCACAGGCAAAGGTCCCCCAGGTAGCCTCCAACAGGACTGGTGGGGCAAGTGCTGTTAGTAGCAGCAGCAGAGATACAAAGACAAAGGTCCCCCAGGTAGCCTCCAGCAGGGATGTAGGGGCAAGTGCTGTTGGTAGCAGCAGCAGAGATATAAAGACAAAGGTCCCCCAGGTATCCTCCAACAGGAATGGTGGGGCAAGTGCTGTTAGTAGCGAGCAGCAGAGATACAAAGACAAAGGTCCCTCAGGTAGCCTACAACAGGGATGGTGGGGCAAGTGCTGTTGGTAACAGCAGCAGAGATACAAAGACAAAGGTCCCCCAGGTATCCTCCAACAGGAATGGTGGGGCAAGTGCTGTTAGTAGCGAGCAGCAGAGATACAAAGACAAAGGTCCCTCAGGTAGCATCCAACAGGGATGGTGGGGCAAGTGCTGTTGGTAGCAGCAGCAGAGATACAAAGACAAAGGTCTCCTGGGTAGCCTCCAGCAGGGATGTAGGGGCAAGTGCTGTTAGGAGCGAGCAGCAGAGATAAAAAGACAAAGGTCCCCCAGGTAGCCTCAAACAGGAATGGTGGGGCAAGTGCTGTTGGTAACAGCAGCAGAGACACAAAGACAAAGGTCCCCCAGGTAGCCTCCAGCAGGGCTGTCAGCAGCAAGCAGCAGCCTCGTTTTTTTTAGGCTGAGCGGACCTAGGGGCGTCCCCACCTGATGACGCGACGCCTCCAGCCCGTCCACCCCCCCCTCCCCCTCCTCCTCGTCCCGGCCGCCGCTGCTGAAACCACCGTCATCAAGACGATAGTCGTAGACCAGCCCCTCGTCCGGGAACGGGAGACACAGCTGAGAGACACGGGGAGACACGGGGAGACACGGGGAGAGAGACACGGTGAGACACGGTGAGACACAGTGAGACACAGGGAGAGACACAGAGACACGGTGAGAGAGACACGGGGAGAGAGACACGGGGAGACACAGTGAGACACAGGGAGAGACACAGAGACACGGTGAGGGAGACACGGTGAGAGAGACACGGGGAGAGAGACACGGTAGTCGTAGACCAGCCCCTCGTCCGGGAAGGGGAGACGCAGCTGAGAGACACGGGGAGACACGGGGAGACACGGGGAGAGACACGGGGAGAGAGACACAAGGAGAGAGACACGGGGAGAGAGACACAGTGAGACATGGGGAGACACGGAGAGAGACACGGTGAGACACGGAGAGACACGGGGAGAGACACGGTGAGACACGGTGAGAGAGACACGGGGAGAGAGACACGGTGAGAGAGACACGGTGAGACACGGGGAGAGAGACACGGTGAGACACGGTGAGACACGGTGAGAGAGACACGGTGAGACATGGTGAGACACGGTAGTCGTAGACCAGCCCCTCGTCCGGGAACGGGAGAAGCAGCTAAGAGACACGGGGAGAGAGACACGGGGAGAGAGACACGGGGAGAGACACGGTGAGACACGGGGAGAGAAACACGGTGAGACACGGGGAGAGACACGGTGAGACACGGGGAGAGAGACACGGGGAGAGACACGGTGAGACACGGGGAGAGAGACATGGTAGTCGTAGACCAGCCCCTCGTCCGGGAACGGGAGACACAGCTGAGAGACACAGTGAGAGAAACACGGTGAGACACGGGGAGAGACACGGTGAGACACGGGGAGAGAGACACGGGGAGAGAGACACGGTGAGACACGGTAGTCATAGACCAGCGCCTCATCCGGGAAACAGGAGATTTAGCTGTAAGACACGGCGAGAGAGACATGAGCGAGAAACACGGGGAGAGAGACACGGTGAGAGACACGGAGAGAGACACGGGGACAGAGACACGGTGGGAGACACGGTGAGAGAGACACAATGAGAGCGACACGGTGAGAGACACACGGGGAGAGCGACACGGTGAGAGAGACACGGGGAGAGACACAGTGAGAGAGACACGGTGAGAGAGACACGGGGAGAGCGACACGGTGAGAGAGACACGGGGAGAGCGACACGGTGAGAGAGACACGGGGAGAGAGACACGGTGAGAGCGACACGGTGAGAGCGACACGGTGAGAGAGACACGGGGAGAGCGACACGGTGAGAGAGACACGGGGAGAGAGACACGGTAAGAGACACGGTGAGAGAGACACGGTGTGAGCGACACGGTGAGAGAGACACGGGGAGAGAGACACCGAGGGGAGAGACGCCGAGGGGAGAGACACGGTGAGAGACACAGAGAGAGACACGGGGACAGAGACACGGTGGGAAACACGGTGAGAGAGACACAATGAGAGCGACACGGTGAGAGAGACACGGGGAAAGCGACACGGTGAGAGAGACACGGGGAGAGACACAGTGAGAGAGACACGGGGAGAGCGACACGGTGAGAGAGACACGGGGAGAGACACGGGCAGACGAGAGAGACGTGAGCACCTCCTCTACGGCCATCTTGTCCCGGAGCCAGCGGCTGAACCGCGGCCGCGATGCGGCGTCGCAGCTGCCCCCGACGCTCCACACCAACGCAAACACGGCCCACGCCTCCAGCAGACGCGGCGCCACCACCACCACCGCCGCATCATCCTCCTGCTGCTGCTGCTGGCGGTGGGGCTGCTGAGCACGCCGGGCGGTGCCGACGCCACCGCCTCCACCGCCTCCACCGCCTCCACTGCCTCCGCCGGCAGCAACCTGTGAGAGGAGGGATCACGAACCGAAGCGGCGTCGAGACGGCCGAGCTGCGCCGTGGCACTGTACATGGCCGCACTGTACAACGCCGCCATACTGTACAACAGCGACAATGTACAACGTCGCAACACTTGTACATTACCACACTGTACAACATTGCAACACTGTATGACATCGCAACACTGTACAACATGGCTACACTGTACACCATTCCAGCACTGTACATCATCGCCAAACTGTATAACAGCGACAATGTACAACGTCACAACACCTGTACATTACCACACTGTACAACAGGACAAAACTGTACAACATCCCCACACTGCAACATCGCAAAACTGTACGACATCGCAACACTGTACGACATGGCTACACTGTACACCATTCCAGCACTGTACATCATCGCCATGCTGTATAACATGGCACTGTACAACATGGTCACACTGTACAACGCGGCCACACTGTACATCACGCCCACACTGTACAACGTGGCCACAATGTATACCATCACAACACTGTACAACATCGCCACTGCAGAACATGCTCACACTGTACATCACCACCACACTGTACAACATAGTCACACTGTACAGTGAGTTAATGGGTGAGTGAGTGGGTTAGTGATGAGATTAGTGAGTGGGTCAGTGAATGAGTGGGTGAGTGAGTGGGTGAGTGAGTGAGTGGGTAGGTGAGTGGGTGAGTGAGTGGGTGAGTCGGTGAGTGGGTGGGTGAGTGAGTGGGTGAGTGGGTGGGTGGGTGAGTGGGTGGGTGAGTGAGTGGGTGAGTGAATGGGTGAGTGAGTGGGTGAGTGGGTGAATGGGTGAGTGAGTGAGTGGGTGAGTGGGTGAGTGGGTGGGTAAGTGAGTGGGTGAGTTAATGGGTTAGTGAGTGGGTTAGTGATGAGATTAGTGAGTGGGTCAGTGAATCAGTGGGTGAGTGAGTGGGTGAGTGAGTGAGTTAGTGGGTAGGTGAGTGGGTGAGTGAGTGGGTGAGTCGGTGAGTGGGTGGGTGAGTGAGTGGGTGAGTGGGTGGTGGGTGAGTGGGTGGGTGAGTGAGTGGGTGAGTGGGTGAGTGAATGGGTGAGTGAGTGAGTGAGTGGGTGGGTGAGTAAGTGAGTGGGTGAGTGAATGAATGAGTGGGTGAGTGAATGAATGAGTGGGTGAGTGAGTGAATGGGTGAGTGAGTGAGTAAGTGGGTGAGTGGATGAGTGGGTGGGTAAGTGAGTGAGTGGGTGAGTGGGTGGGTGAGTGATTGAGTGAGTGGGTCAATGAGTGAGTGAGTGGGTGAGTGAGTGACCTGCAGGGGCTGCAGGAAACAGTCCAGGATGCGAAGGAATCCGGCCACCAGATTCACGTCCACAGAGGCCACCGGCTCCACCGCACTGGCACGCACCCAGCGCACCGCGTCCTGTACACAGCACACACAGTACACAGACACAGTACACACGCAGAACACACACAGTACACACACAGTACACACACAGTAGTGTATAATAGTGTAGGACTCGTACTGACGCAACAGCTTCTTTGTCTTCTCGGTTCTTATTAACACGTATAGTTCACAACTCCCCATCAACATCACTCAATGTCCCTACCGTATACTATACTCTCTTGTCTACCGCTACCGTATACTATACTCTCTTGTCTACTGCTACCGTATACTATACTCTCTTGTCTACTGCTACCGTATACTATACTCTCTTGTCTACTGCTACCGTACTATACTCTCTTGTCTACTGCTACCGTATACTATACTCTCTTGTCTACTGCTACCGTATACTATACTCTCTTGTCTACTGCTACCGTATACTATACTCTCTTGTCTACTGCTACCGTATACTATACTCTCTTGTCTACTGCTACCGTATACTATACTCTCTTGTCTACTGCTACCGTATACTATACTCTCTTTGTCTTACTGCTACCGTATACTATACTCTCTTGTCTACTGCTACCGTATACTATACTCTCTTGTCTACTGCTACCGTATACTATACTCTCTTGTCCTACTGCTACCGTATACTATACTCTCTTGTCTACCTGCTACCGTATACTATACTCTCTTTGTCTACCGCTACCGTTATACTATACTCTCTTGTCTACCTGCTACCGTATACTATACTCTCTTGTCTACTGCTACCAGTATACTATACTCTCTTGTCTACTGCTACCGTATACTATACTCTCTTGTCTACTGCTACCGTATACTATACTCTCTTGTCTACTGCTACCGTACTATACTCTCTTGTCTACTGCTACCGTATACTATACTCTCTTGTCTACTGCTACCGTATACTATACTCTCTTGTCTACTGCTACCGTATACTATACTCTCTTGTCTACTGCTACCGTATACTATACTCTCTTGTCCACTGCTACCGTATACTATACTCTCTTGTCCACTGCTACCGTACACTATACACTCTTGTCTACTGCTACCGTATACTATACTCTCTTGTCTACTGCTACCGTATACTATACTCTCTTGTCTACTGCTACCGTACACTATACACTCTTGTCTACTGCTACCATATACTATACTCTCTTGTCTACTGCTACCGTACACTATACACTCTTGTCTACTGCTACCGTATACTATACTCTCTTGTCTACTGCTACCGTATACTATACTCTCTTGTCCACTGCTACTGTATACTATACTCTCTTGTCTAATGCTACCGTATACTATACTCTCTTGTCCACTGCTACCGTATACTATACTCTCTTGTCCACTGCTACCGTACTACACTCTCTTGTCTACTGCTATCGTATACTTTACTCTCTTGTCTACTGCTACCGTACTACACTCTCTTGTCCACTGCTACCGTACTATACTCTCTTGTCTACTGCTACCGTATACTACACTCTCTTGTCCACTGCTACCGTACTATACTCTCTTGTCTACTGCTACCGTACTACACTCTCTTATCTACTGCTACCGTATACTATACTCTCTTGTCTACTGCTACTGTACTATATTCTCTTGTCCACTGCTACCGTACTATACTCTCTTGTCTACTGCTCCATCTCTTCCTCTATCTGACTCTTGTCCCAGGCACCAACCAACTCCAACTCCGACTCCAACACCAACTCCCATTTCTCCCCACGCTCTTTGCCTTCATCCCCGAACCAATTTGCCCCAATGAATTAATCAGAATCATCCCCCGCTTTGCTACTCGCCCCCCAGCCCTCAGCGTCACGTGATGTTGTTGTTGTAGACACCGCGTCGCTCATCTCAGACACTCACACCTCTCGACCAATCACCGGCCTGCATCCTCAGTTACCCCAAACACCTGCGGCCTCCCCTAATTACCTCACCCCCTTAATTGGCGCAATGACAACAGTGTGACGCCCCTCTCCCCGTGTCCCCGTTTGCCCTCACTGTCCTCACTGTCCTCACTGCCCTCACTGTCCTCACTGTCCTCACTGTCCTCACTGTCCGCCGCATGTCTGTATCATAACCCAACGCGTGACGCGTGTTTTCTCAAGTATAGTATAGTTTATAGTAGTATAGTGTAGTGTATAGTGTAGTGTATAGTGTAGTGTATAGTAGTGTATAGTGTAGTGTATAGTATAGTGTATAGTAGTGTATAGTGTAGTGTATAGTGTAGTGTATAGTAGTGTATAGTGTAGTGTATAGTAGCGTATAGTGTAGTGTATAGTAGTATAGTGTATAGTGTAGTGTATAGTGTAGTGTATAGTAGTGTAGTGTATAGTAGTGTATAGTGTAGTGTATAGTGTAGTGTATAGTGTAGTGTATAGTGTACAGTGTAGTGTATAGTGTAGTGTATAGTGTAGTTTATATTGTAGTGTATAGTGTAGTAGTGTATAGTGTAGTGTATAGTGTAGTGTATAGTGTATCGCATCCGTACCGGCAGCAGGCGCTGGATGAGCGATCGCAGCGCCGGCACGAGTGCGCTGGCCGGCGCGGCGAGCCTGCCCAGCCAGGCCTCGGTGAGGGTGGAGAGGGTGAGGGTCAGGGCGCCCAGGTAGACCATCCCGCAGCGCGACACCGTCGCCGGGGACGCCACGGCCAGGTCCTGCACCTCGAACACCATCGTCTGGGACTGGGGGGGGGGGGGCGGTGGTGGTGGAGGGCAGAGAGAGAGAATATCACAGAGGTGAACCTCCCCCCCGCCTCTCCCCCCGCCTCTCCCCCCCCACCTCTCCCCCCCCCACCTCTCCCCCCCCGCCTCTCCCCCCCCTCTCCCCCCCACCCCTCCCCCCCCTCTCACCTCGGTGAGTTTGATGATCTCCCCCGAGCTGAGGCAGAGCTTCTTGTTGTCGTCCAGCACCGTGTTCATGTTCTCTATCCACACGGCGTCCACGGGGCCATCCAGCACGTACCAAAACCGCCCGGCACCACCACCACCACCACCGCCACCACCACCACCCGCGCCAGCCACGGCGGCCACACCGGCACGGATCAGCGAGGACAGAATGCCGTCCGTCCTGCATGGAGCAGCAGCAGGAGGAAGGGGAAGAATCACAGCGGTGGCGTTCACTCACTCAGTCGCTCACTCAGTCACTCAGTCAGTTAGTCAGTCACTCACTCAGTCACTCAGTCACTCACTCAATCACTCAGTCACTCAGTCAGTCAGTCACTCACTCAGTCACTCACTCAGTCAGTCGCTCAGTCAGTCACTCACTCAGTCAGTCACTCAGTCAGTCACTCACACGCTCACTCAGTCACTCACTCAGTCACTCAGTCAGTCACTCACTCAGTCACTCACTCAGTCACTCAATCGCTCACATGCTCACTCAGTCGCTCATTCAGTCACTCAGTCAGTCACTCACTCACTCAGTCACTCACTCAGTCACTCAGTCGCTCACATGCTCACTCAGTCACTCACTCACTCAGTCACTCACTCAGTCACTCACTCAGTCACTCACTCAGTCAGTCGCTCACTCAGTCACTCACTCAGTCACTCACTCACTCAGTCACTCACTCAGTCTGTCAGTCACTCAGTCACTCACTAAGTCACTCAGTCAGTCGCTCACTCAGTCACTCACTCAGTCACTTAGTCAGTCACTTAGTCACTCACTCAGTCACTCACTCAGTCACTCAGTCAGTCGCTCACTCAGTCAGTCAGTCAGTCACTCACTCACTCAGTCACTCACACGCTCACTCAGTCACTCAGTCAGTCACTTGGTCAGTCACTCAGTCAGTCAGTCAGTCACTCACTCACTCAGTCGCTCACTCAGTCGCTCACTCACTCACTCAGTCGCTCACTCAGTTGCTCACTCACTCACCCACTCCCTCACTCACTCACCCACTTACTCATCCACTCATTCACTCACTCGCCAAGTCGCTCACTCGCTCAGTCACTCACCTACTCACTCACCCACCCACTCACTCACTCAGTCGCTCACCCGCTCACTCAGTCACTCACTCACTCAGTCGCTCAGTGACTCACTCACTCGCTCGCTCACTCACTCACTCAGTGAATCGCTCACTCACTCACTCGCTCAATCACCCACTCACTCACCCACTCGCTCACTCGCTCACTCACTAACTCAATCACCCACTCACCCACCCACCCACTCACTCACCCACCCACTCACTCACCCACCCACTCACTCACTCACCCACTCACTCACTCACTCACCCACTCACTCACTCACTCACCCACCCACCCACCCACTCACCACTCGTGAGTGAGCAGGTCAAACTCCCCGTACAGCTGCCCCATGCTGATGGACTTGGGGTTCATCACGTGCACCGTGACCCCCTCGTAGCGGCCGCCACTCGGCGCCTGCTGCCCCCGCAGGGACGTGAGGGCCTCCGCCAGCACCCGGTAGCACTGCACACAGACAAAGGTGGCCCAGGTAGCTTCCAGCAGGACAGCAGGGGCAAGTGCCCGTGGCAGTACCAGAGATGCACAGACAAAGGTGGCCCAGGTAGCCTCAAGCAGGGCAGCAGGGGCAAGTGCCCGTGGCAGTACCAGAGATGCACAGACAAAGGTGGCCCAGGTAGCCTCCAGCAGGGCAGCAGGGGCAAGTGCCCTTGGCAGTACCAGAGATGCACAGACAAGGGTTGCCCAGGTAGCCTCCAGCAGGGCAGCAGGGGCAAGTGCCCTTGGCAGTACCAGAGATGCACAGACAAAGGTGGCCCAGGTAGCCTCCAGCAGGGCAGCAGGGGCAAGTGCCATTGGCAGTACCAGAGATGCACAGATAAAGGTTGCCCAGGTAGCCTCCAGCAAGGCAGCAGGGGCAAGTGCCATTGGCAGTACCAGAGATGCACAGACAAAGGTTGTCCAGGTAGCCTCCAGCAGGGCAGCAGGGGCAAGTGCCATTGGCAGTACCAGAGATGCACAGACAAAGGTGGCCCAGGTAGCCTCAAGCAGGGCAGCAGGGGCAAGTGCCCTTGGAAGTACCAGAGATGCACAGACAAAGATGGCCCAGGTAGCCTCCAGCAAGGCAGCAGGGGCAAGTACCCTTGGCAGTACCAGAGGAGGAGGTAGAGGAGGAGGTAGAGGAGGTGGAGGAGGTAGAGGTAAAGGTGATAGAGGTAAAGGTGGAGGAGGAGGGGGATAGCCTACTTGGGTCTTGCCGGCCCCGGTGACTCCCACCAGCATGAGTCCGTGCCGCACCAGCGTCGTGTCGTGCAGCTGGCCGCACTTCCTGATGAAGCCTGCGGGGTGACACGGCGTGAGTCCACCACTGCAGTGAGTCCACCACCACCACTCTAGTGAGTCCACAACCACTCCAGTGAGTCCACCACCACTTTAGTGTGTTTTGGGTCATTGTCATGTTGGAATACCCATCCACGACTCATTTTCAATGCCCTGGCTGAGGGAAGGAGGTTCTCACCCAAGATTTGACGGTACATGGCCCCGTCCATCGTCCCTTTGATGCGGTGAAGTTGTCCTGTCCCCTGAGCAGAAAACACCCCCAAAGCATAATGTTTCCACCTCCATGTTTGAAGGTGGGGATGGTGTTCTTGGGGTCATAGGCAGCATTCCTCCTCCTCCAAACACGGCGAGTTGAGTTGATGCCAAAGAACTCCATTTTGGTCTCATCTGACCACAACACTTTCACCCAGTTGTCCTCTGAATCATTCAGATGTTCATTGGCAAACTTCAGACAGGCATGTATATGTGCTTTCTTGAGCAGGGGGACCTTGCGGGCACTGCAGGATTTCAGTCCTTCACGGCGTAGTGTGTTACCAACTGTTTTCTTGGTGACTATGGTCCTAGCTGCCTTGAGATCATTGACAAGATCTTCCCGTGTAATTATGGGCTGATTCCTCACCATTCTCATGATCATTGCAACTCCACGAGGTGAGATCTTGCATGGAGCCCCAGGCCGAGGGAGATTGACAGTTCTTTTGTGTTTCTTCCATTTGCGAATAATCGCATCACCAAGCTGCTTGGCGATGGTCTTGTAGCCCATTCCAGCTTTGTGTAGGTCTACAATCTTGTCCCTGACATCCTTGGAGAGCACTTTGGTCTTGGCCATGGTGGAGAGTTTGGAATCTGATTGATTGATTGCTTCTGTGAACAGGTGTCTTTTATTCAGGTAACAAGCTGAGATTAGGAGCACTCCCTTTAAGAGTGTGCTCCTAATCTCAGCTCGTTACCTGTGTAAAAGACACCTGGGAACCAGAAATCTTTCTGATTGAGAGGGGGTCAAATACTTATTTCCCTCATTAAAATGCAAATCAATTTATAACATTTATGACATGCGTTTTTCTGGATTTTTTTGTTATTCTATCTCTCACTGTTCAAATAAACCTACCATTAAAGTTATAGACTGATCATTTCTTTGTCAGTGGGCAAATGTACAAAATCAGCAGGGGATCAAATACTTTTTTCCCTCACTGTATAATAGTGTATAGTGTAGTGGAAAGCAGTGTATATTGGAGTGTATAGTAGTGTATAGTGTTGTGAATAATAGTGTATAGTGTAGTGTATAGTGTAGTGTATAGTAGTGTATAGTGTAGTGTATAGTGTAGTTTATAGTGTAGTGTATAGTAGTGTATAGTAGTGTATAGTGTAGTGTATAGTGTAGTGTATAGTGTAGTGTATAGTAGTGTAGTGTATAGTAGTATATAGTGTAGTGTATAGTGTAGTGTATAGTGTAGTGTAATTAAGCTTGTGCCGGAGGCCACGGGGGGACAGGCATCTATAACGTCTCCTGGCCAAACCCCATTTGGCGGAGCCAGGAGACTGAATCTTTACCCTCGGGGCTCCTCCAGAAACAACAAAAAGCCACTACGGATGGCCACGTGGAATGTTCGAATGTTCACTGCAGAGGAGAGGCTGCCACTCCTCTGTCGGGAGCTAGATCGGTACCGCCTGGATCTCTGTGATATTCAGGAGGTCCGGTGGACCGGCTCTGGCTCCTGCCACCATGAGAGGTGGACAGTCCTCTACTCGGGGCAGGAGACCTTACTAGTTGGCTGTGTAGGGTGGTGGCGGGTTTTAACGACACATTTATATATTTGCGCGATCTCCTGCCCATGCCCCCACTCACACCACCACCCACTCCCACCACCCACACCACCACCTCCATGACCCCCACCACCACCACTACCTCCACCACCCCCCCCCCGCCACCCTCCCACCCCCCACCACCAAGTCCAACCCCCCCATCTCCAACCCCACCACCCCCTCCACCACCACCACCCCCACCAGCCCCCCACCCCCACCACCCCCCTACCCACCACCACCACCCCCCACCCCCACCACCCCCCCCCACCCCCACCACCCCCCTACCCACCACCCCCTACCCCCACCACCCCCCCACCCCCCCACGACCCCCCCACCCCCACCACCCCCCTACCCACCACCACCACCCCCCACCCCACCACCACCCCCCACCCCCACCACCCCCCTACCCACCACCACCACCCCCCACCACCACCACCCCCCTGCCCACCACCACCACCCCCTACCCCCACCACCCCCCCACGACCCCCCCACCCCCACCACCCCCCTACCCACCACCATCACCCCCCCCCACCCCCCCCACCCCCACCACCCCCCTACCCACCACCACCCCCTACCCCCACCACCCCCCCACGACCCCCCCACCCCCCCACCCCCCAACCCACCACCACCACCCTCCCACCCCCCACCACCCCCCCACCCCCACCACCCCCCTACCCACCACCACCACCCCCCACCCCCACCCCCACCCCCCCCCCCCTACCCACCACCACCACCCCCTACCCACCACCACCCCCCCTACCCACCACCACCACCCCACCCCCCCCACCACCACCACCCCCCTACCCCCCACCCCCGACCCCCCACCCTCCCCACCGCCTCTCACCGTCTTCATCCCGGAGGCCTCTGGAGAGGCAGGCGACCCTCAAGGCGCCTTCCAGCGCGTCGTGGGACGCGGGGGAGGGGCCGGGGGCGGGGCCGGGTGAGGGGGTGGGGCCGGGGGAGGGGGCGGGGGAGGGGGCGGGGGATGGGGCGGGGGAGGGGGCGGGGGGGTTGTGACCCCGGCGCGTGCGGGGGAACAGGTCGGCCACGATGCCCTCGAACAGGGCGAGGTCCTCCTCCAGGAACTTGGGCACGTTGGCGTCACGCAGCGCACGCAGGCAGAGCAGCTCCTGGGGTGGGGGTGGGGGGTGAGGGGGGGTGGGAGGTGAGGGTGGTGGGTGGGTGAGTGAGGGTGGTGGGTGGGTGAGGGTGGGGTGGTGGGTGGGGATGGGTGAGGGTGGGGTGGGGTGGTGGGTGGGGGGGTGGGTGGGTGGGGTGGGTGGGTTGGTGGTGGGTGAGGGGTGGGTGAGGGTGGGGGGACGGTAGGTGGGTGGATGAAGATGGGGGGTGGGTGGTTTAGGGTGGGGTGGGTGAGGGTGGGGGGTGGTGGGTGGATGGGTGATGGGTGGGGTGGGGGTGGGGTGGGGGACGGCGGGTGGGTGGGTGAAGGTGGGGGGTGGGGTGGGTGGGTGAGGGTGGGGTGGGGGGTGGGTGGGTGGGTGAGGGTGGGGTGGGGGTGGGGGGTGGTTGATGGGTGGGGTGGGGAGTGGATGGGTGAGGGTGGGGTGGGGGTGGGGGGTGGGTGGGTGGGTGATGGGTGGGTGGTGGGTGAGGGTGGGGTGGTGGGTGAGGGTGGGGTGGTGGGTGAGGGTGGGGTGGGTGAGGGTGGGGGGGTGAGGGTGGGGTGGTGGGTGGGTGAGGGTGGGGTGGTGGGTGGGTGGGTGAGGGGTGGTGGGTGGGTGGGTGGGTGAGGGTGGTGGGGTGGTGTTGGTGGATGAGGGTTGGGTGGTGGGTGGTGGGGTGGGTGAGGGTGGTGGTGTGGTGGGTGAGGGTGGGGTTGGGTGGGTGAGGGTGGGGTTGGTGGTGGGTGGGTGAGGGTGGGGTTGGTGGTGGGTGGGTGAGGGGTGGTAGTAGTCGCAGCAGCATCCACACAGAGACACCCACACAAAGACAAAGATCCCCCGTGTAGCCTGTAACAGGCTGTTGGGGCAAGTTGCTGTTAGCGAGTAGCAGCACCTCTGAATTCTACCGGCACTGTGACACACGAGGGGGCGGGTGGCCAGCACCACGCCCGGCCGCCTTTGTCTCCCTCGTGGCGATGCCCACACATCGCACCGGGTGCTCAGGTCAAAATAATCGTCACCGGTGTGGGCCGTGAGCGGGAATCGAAGTCGGGTTACCGGGTGCAGAGCACAGCGCGCTAACCACTACAGACAACAACAACAACCGCCATTGGTCACTAAGTGGCGGTGACGTCACCACGACGCTTGTGCCAGGCCATGTGCACCTTGAGGCCACGTGAAGTGTCGAACGTCCGCCGGCAGGTCACGGGGCAGACCCAGCAGGTGCCATGGGTTGATTTACTGAGATGACCGAGATGACTGGTTTATGCACCACCTGTGCCCCCTACTGTGCCAACTTGCTGTGCTTTAGCCACCCGGCGCTCCGCTCGTTGTTGTGAGCGTCGCTCCTCTGCCCTCTGTTGTTGTTGGAGGGTGACTGCCTCCAACTGCCCAGTAGCGTCCTTCACGAGCCTCCTCCACAGAGGCCGATCTTGACACCGCTGGTACCAGTCATCGGCAAGTCCACTCAGCTCCACGTCATCCTGTACCACATCACTCCATCTCTTCTCCAGTCCATGCCGCGCCCGTTTAGCCCCCTCGATCCGGCCGAACAAAAGCTGTTTAGGCATGCGGTGGCTGAGCATGCGGGCTACATGACCCAGCCAACGCAGCCTTGCCTGCCGGAGGAGCTCACCGATGGGACTTTGCCCAGATCTTTCAAGGATTTGTGAGCTTCTCACACAATCCAGCCTGGTTAAACCCACGATGGATCGTAGGCAGGCCAGCCTAAATGGTTCAAACCGGTGAATATATTCCATTAGGGGGGTCCATGTTTCGCAGGCGTAGAGAAGAGAGGGAATGACTGTGGCTAAGAAGACCTGAAGCTTCGTGTGGAGTGAGAGACCAGGTAGCTTCCACACAGCGTTACGCAACCGATGAAAAAATAATGCCGCTGGACTGATTCGGAGTGAGACCTCTGCTGTCAACCCGGAGCTGGTCATGAGCACACTGCCCAGGTATGGGAAACTCTCCACTCTCTCCACAATTGCCCCATCACAGATTGGAAGTTGTGGGGGTGGAGTGTCCGATGGTACAAAATACCCAGGCAGGTGCTTAGTTTTGGTGGGGCTGATGGTAAGGCCCCACTTCTTAGTGGCACACTCCAGGTTCAGCAGCAGCGCCTCCAACTCCTCCTCTGAGTGAGCCGCAATTACCAGGTCGTCGGCATACATAACATGGCTGACCAATAAGGAGCCATCCCTCGACTGCACCCAGGCATCGATCAGCCTCCCATTGTATCTGTACAAGATGGAAATTCCTCCGGTATAGCTACTGAAGGCTTCACGAACTATGTGCAGTGATACCTCGGTTCACGAACTTAATTCGTGAACTGACTCTGGTCGGGAACCGAATTGGTCGTGAACCGAGGCACATTTTCCCATAGGGTTCAATGTAAATCCGGTTAATCCGTTCTGACCTTTTTTTTTGGTTTTTGAAGCACAAAAATATGAAACAAATTACAATACACATTACTGTAGTACTGTACAGTATAGTAATGTATAAAGAGAGAACACTAACCTTGCTTGAGATGACTTCTGGCATGGAGGAAGGCAGGTGGGAGGCGGGTGGGAGGCGGTTATTGTTTGGAGGGAGAGTCCCATTAAGCACTGAAATGGGTGAACTGTACAATACAGTAAGTACAGTATTGTACAGTACAGTAGTACAGTACAGTACTGTATGTGCTAAAAAGCACACCAAAAATCTAAAAGTCACTGAAAGTGTCTTCACAGTACTCACAGTACTTCTTTTTTGTGTCTCTGCTTCTCTCCACGATCTTCCTACAGGAAGTCACGACCATGTGACAGCCTGGAATTAGCATAAAAATGGCCGCGGCTCCTGTTTGTGAACCGAAGCGGAGTTCGTGAACCGGAGCATATTTTTATGAAATTTTCTGTTCGTGAACCGAGTTGTTCGTGAACCGAAGCGTTCGTGAACCGAGGTATCACTGTGGTCGAAATAGATGTTAAATAATGTTGGAGCCAGACGACATCCCTGTCGCACCCCAAGGTGTACAGGGAATGGCTCTGACTCCCGGCCACGTAGTTTTACCCGGGCCCGCTCACCATCATGCAGGTCCTTAATGAGCGTGAGCAGAGGGTCAGAGACTCCGAAAGCACGAAGAACAACCCAGATCCCAGGCCTACTGATGGTTGCATAGGCCTTGACCAGGTCAATAAAGTTTAGATGTAGGTCTTGTTGGAATTCCCTACACCTCTGCTGTAGCAGACGGACAGAAAATATGGCATCTGTGCAGGACCGCCCTTTCCTGAAACCACAGCCACTCACAGGGGGTGACTTCTTCTTCCAATATTTGAAGCACCACAGCCTCAGCAGGGTCATCCCTACTTTGTCCCATGATGGTTTCCTGGCTGAGGGATTTCCTGTCCCCCAGGACATCACAGAAATGCTCAGCAAATCTGCAAACCTGTTCCTGGGGGTGGGAAATTGGATCAACGTTCTTTCCCCTAATGATGGTAATAGGTGTGGTGCTGCAGGTTACTTTTTTGATGGAGTTAAATAGGGATTTGTGATCGCAGGCCATTGAGGCAGACTCCATCTCCTCAGCAACCCATGACCACCACCCATCCTTACAGCGCCTCACGGCTCTCCGAACCTCCGAGCGAAGGCTGCAGTAAGCCTCATCATTCTGACGTGGGATGCTGTAGACGATTAGAGTGGGCCTGTCACTTTTTCTCAACCAGCCTGAACACCTCCTCTATCAGCCAGGGTCTCTGGGGAGGTCTGGACCAAAGCAGCCATTGCAGCTGCATGAGTCACAGTTCTAAACCTCGTCCATTTGCCCTCAACATCAGGAGGAGTGGGGGACGATGCCATCCCCAGCCGCAAACGATGATGAAATTCTCGCTTACAACTTCCATCAGCTAGCTGAGACCATGCCACTATGCGTTTGAATGGTGTCTGGGTGTACACCCACCACTGGAGTGGAAGAATGGCAGGCGCATCTTACAGATGACAAGTCGATGGTCAGAGGGCAGATCAGCTCCACGGTAGGTCCTGGTGTCAAGGACATGGGCTCACATCCGCTGGTCCGTCACTATGTAGTCCAGCAGATGTTCTTCCTTGGACCCGGCATGCATCCATGATGTTGCGTGGATGCGCCGATGCCAGAACAGCATGTTGATAATTACAAGCCCATGGGCTGCACACAAATGTAGCAGCCTCCTACCGTTGTTATTAAGCTGATCTGGCCCATGCCTTCCAATCACTCCAGACCAAGTACCAGCATCATGACCAACTCGGGCATTGAAGTCACCCAACAAGATGACTCTATCCTGAGGGGCCACTTTAGCCAGCACCTGTGACAGGAGGTCATAGAAGGCATCTGACTCATCGGCTTTGCCTGCATCCCTCCACAGATGTTCGTCTTCGGTGGGGGCATAAGTAACCACGACCACCACTCCTTGCCTCCGGTTGATGGGAAGGCGAGCCCAAAGTATCCTAGGGCTTACAGCTTCCCACACCTCACCATCACGCTCCCACGCCCCCTTCGTTCTTTTGTTCAGAAGAAGAGCCACTCCCTGTTGTTTGGCAGTCTCCTGCCCCGAGTGGAGGACTGTCCACCCCTCATGGTGGCAGGAGCCAGAGCCGGTCCACCGGACCTCCTGAATATCACAGAGATCCAGGCAGTACCGGTCCAGCTCCTGACAAAAGAGTGGCAGCCTCTCCTCCGCAGTGAGCATTTGAACATTCCACGTGGCCACCCGCAGTGGTGTTTCGTTGTTTCTGGAGGAGCCCCGAGGGTGAAAATTCTATCTCCTGGCTCTGCCAATTAGGGTTTGGCCAGGAGACGTCAAAAACAACCTCCTACCTCCTTGTGGTGCCGGATGGGCAACACTGTCGTGGACAGTGCTGTGGGGGGAGGGTCAATGCCCATTGGCCTCTCCCCTCATGGCATCTGTGACCACCACAGTGGCTAAACGGGGGCTCTGGACGGGTGCGAGGGGCTGGTAACCCTTCCACCTTCAATGAATTACCACGAGACTACGATATAAACACACAAAGACACACACACACACACTCCACACACGTGAACACACACGTGAACACACACAGACACACACCCTCACACCCACCTCGTCCATGTGTGGCTGCTCCCGTTTGAGATTGCCGGCAGTGGAGATCACCGTCTTCACGGCCCTCATGCCAAAGTCGTAGTGGTCCTAGACGCAGACGTGGCAGAGGGCAGCGGTGGTGGTTGTGGTGGTGGTGATGTTGGTTGTAGTGGTGATGGTGATGATGGTGGTGGTGATGGTGATGATGGTGGTGGTGATGGTGGTGATGGTGGTGATGGTGGTGTTGGTGGTGGTGATGGTGGTGGTGTTGTTGGTGGTGGTGTTGGTGATGGTGGTGGTGTTGTTGGTGGTGGTGGTAGTGGTGATGGTGGTGGTGGTGTTGGTGGTGATGGTGATGTTGGTGGTGTTGGTGGTGGTGATGGTGGTGGTGTTGTTGGTGGTGATGTTGGTGGTGGTGTTGTTGGTGGTGGTAGTGTTGGTGGTTGCGGTGGTGGTGGTGGTGATGGTGGTGATGATGGTGGTGGTGATGGTGGTTATGGTGGTGGTGGTGTTGGTGGTGATGATGGTGATGATGGTGTCTCCCCGCGTGTCTCCGTGTCTCCACGTGTCTCAGCGTGTCTCCTCGCGTGTCTCCGTGTCTTCCCGCGTGTCTCCCCGTGTGTCTCCGTGTGTCTCTGTGTCTCCCCGTGTCTCCGCGTGTCTCCGTGTGTCTCCCTGCGTCTCTCCCCGTGTGTCTCCCCGTGTCTCCCCGTGTCTCCCCGTGTGTCTCCCCGCGTGTCTTCCCGCGTGTCTCCCCGCGTGTCTCCCCGTGTCTCCACGCGTGTCTCCCCGCGTGTCTCCCCGTGTCTCTCCGTGTCCCCGTGTCTCCCCGTGTCTCCCCGCGTGTCTCCGAGTCCCCGCGTGTCTCCCCGTGTCTTTCCGAGTCCCCGCGTGTCTCCCCGAGTCTCCCCGTGTCTCTCCCCGTGTCTCCCCGTGTGTCTCCGAGTCTCCGTGTGTCTCTCCGAGTCTCTCCGTGTCTCCCCGTGTCTCCCCGTGTCTCCCCGTGTGTCTCCCCGTAGCTCCCCGTGTCTCCCCGTGTCTCCCCGTGTCTCCCCGTCTGTCTCCACGTGTCTCCCTGCGTGTCTCCCCGTGTCTCCCTGCGTGTCTCCCGGCTCGCCTGTGAGCTGAGCTGCTCCGACACGAGCTTGAATGTGGTGGTGATCTTCTTGGCCAGCATGCCGGCGTCTCCCCGTGTCTCCCCGTGTCTCTCCCCGTGTCTCCCCGTGTCTCCGTGTCTCCCCACTCACCTGTGAGCTGAGCTGCTCTGACGCGAGCTTGAACGTGGTGGTGATCTTCTTGGCCAGCATGCCGTGTCACCCCGTGTCTCTCCCCGTGTCTCCCCGAGTCTCCCCGTGTGTCTCCCCGTGTCTCCCCGCGTGTCTCTCTGAGTCTCCCCGTGTCTCCCCGTGTCTCCCCGTGTGTCTCCCCGTGTCTCCCCGTGTGTCTCCGTGTGTCTCCCCGTGTGTCTCCCCGTGTCTCCCCGTGTGTCTCCGTGTGTCTCCCCGCGTGTCTCCCCGCGTGTCTCCGTGTGTCTCCCCACGTGTCTCTCCCCGTGTCTCTCTCCGTGTCTCCCCACGTGTCTCCCCGCGTGTCTCCCCGCTCACCTGCGTGCTCAGCTGCTCCGACGCCAGCTTGAATGTGGTGGTGATCTTCTTGGCCAGTAGGCCGTGTCTCCCCGTATCTCCCCGTGTCTCCCCGTGTCTCTCCCCGTGTCTCTCCGCGTGTCTCCCCATGTCTCTCCGAGTCTCCCCGGGTCTCCCCGCGTGTCTCTCCCCGTGTCTCTCCGAGTCTCCCCGTGTCTCCCCGCGTCTCCCGCTCACCTGTGAGCTGAGCTGCTCCGACGCGAGCTTGAACGTGGTGGTGATCTTCTTGGTCAGCATGCCGTGTCTCCCCGTGTCTCCCCGTGTCTCCCCGTGTGTCTCCCCGTGTGTCTCCCCGTGTCTCCCCGTGTGTCTCCCCGTGTCTCCCCGTGTCTCTCCCCGTGTGTCTCCGTGTGTCTCCCCGCGTCTCCCCCGTGTCTCCCCGTGTCTCCCCGTGTCTCCGTGTGTCTCCGCATGTTTCCCCACTCACCTGTGAGCTGAGCTGCTCCGACGCCAGCTTGAACGTGGTGGTGATCTTCTTGGCCAGTAGGCCGGCGTCGTCGAAGCCGAACGAGTAGAGGGAGATCCGTGCGATCATCGCGTAGTCGGGCACCATCATCGCCACGGGGCGGAACAGCGCCTGGCGCACAGACAAAGGTGCCCCAGGTAGCCTTCACGAGAGCCGCAGAGGGGGGGGGCAAGTGCTCTGAGCAGTAGCGCAGACACAAAGACAAAGGTCCCCCGGGTAGCCTTTACAAGAGCCGGAGGGAGGGGCAAGTGCTCTGAGGAGTAGTGCAGACACAAAGACAAAGGTCCCCCGGGTAGCCTCAACAGGGACGTAGGGGCAAGTGCTCTTAACAGCTTAACAGCACCAGAGATACAAAGACAAAGGTCCCCTGGGTAGCCTCAACAGGGAGGTAGAGGCAAGTGCTCTTAACAGTACCAGAGATACACAGACAAAGGTCCCCTGGGTAGCCTCAACAGGGCCGTAGGGGCAAGTGCCCTTAACAGCACCAGAAACACAAAGACAAAGGTCCCCTGGGTAGCCTTCAACAGGGCCGTAGGGGCAAGTGCTCTTAACAGCACCAGAAACACAAAGACAAAGGTGAACCAAGGAGCTTCAACAAGGCTGTAGGGGCAAGTGCTCTTGCACGGTCCCGATGGTTCCGACGATTCAGACCACTCTAACCACTCCAACCTCTCCAACCACTCCCACCACTCTGACCACTCTGTGTGAGTCGCTCTGTGTGAGTCGCTCTGCGTGAGTCACTCTGTGTGAGTCACTCTGTGTGAGTCACTCTGTGTGAGTCACTCTGTGTGAGTCGCTCTGTGTGAGTCACTCTGAGTGAGTCGCTCTGAGTGAGTCACTCTGTGTGAGTCGCTCTGCGTGAATCGCTCTGTGTGAGTCGCTCTGCGTGAGTCGCTCTGTGTGAGTCGCTCTGAGTGAGTCGCTCTGCGTGAGTCACTCTGAGTGAGTCACTCTGCGTGAGTCTTCACCTTGAGGTTGTCGGGCAGCTCGGTGCGCCCTGCGTATCCGGGGTTCATGGTGATGAAGACGGCGCACGACGTCACCAGCGGGATCTCCACCCCCTCGAACATGAAGCGGGACACCTGCGGGGGAAGGGGGGAGGGAGGGGGGACGCGGGGGGAGGGAGGGAAGGGGGGAGGGAGGGAGGGGGAGGGAGAAACGGGGTGGGAGGGAGGGTGGGAGGAGGGAGGGAGGGTGGGGTAGGGAAGAGGGAGAGAGGCAGGAGAGGGAGGGGGAGGGAGAGAGGGAAGGATGGGGGAGAGGGGGAGACGGAGGGGAGGGAGGGAAGAGGGGAGGGGAGGGGAGGGAGGGTAGGGGGGAAGGAGGGAGGGGGGAGGGGGACACGGGGGGAGACAGAGTAGCGGGCTCTGGTATTACACAGCTACAGGCAAAGGTCCCCTAGGGTCATGCTGGGGGACCTTTGTCTGTAGCTGCCGCTCTAACCCACTGCTGCAGCTACTGGCAGCACTTGCCCCAACAGCCCTGTTGGAAGCTACCTGGGAGACCTTTGTCTGTAGCTGTGGCTAGGAGATGTTAACTACCTCGCCTGGTCTACAGGAGGTCGTGGGTTCGATCCCGACCTCCACAATGCCTGCTGATGTATATTTGGAGTCTGCGTCTCTCTCTCTCTCTCTCTCCAGGCATCGTCAGGGTCGGGATCGAACCCACAACCTCCTGCACACCAGGCGAGGTAGTTAACATCTCGTCAGGGTCGGGATCGAACCCACGACCTCCTGCACACCAGGCGAGGTAGTTAACATCTCATCAGGGTCGCGATCGAGCCCACGACCTCCTGTACACCTGGCGAGGTAGTTAACATCTCGTCAGGGTCGGGATCAAACCCACGACCTCCTGCACACCAGGCGTGGTAGTTAACATCTCGTCAGGGTCGGGATCGAACCCACGACCTCCTGTAGACCAGGCGAGGTAGTTAACATCTCGTCAGGGTCGGGATCGAACCCACGACCTCCTGCACACCAGGCGAGGTAGTTAACATCTCGTCAGGGTCGGGATCGAACCCACGACCTCCTGTAGACCAGGCGAGGTAGTTAACATCTCGTCAGGGTCGGGATCGAACCCACGACCTGCTGTATACCAGACGAGGTAGTTAACATCTCGTCAGGGTCGGGATCGAACCCATGACCTCCTGCACACCAGGCGAGGTAGTTAACATCTCGTCAGGGTCGAGATCGAACCCACGACCTCCTGTAGACCAGGCGAGGTAGTTAACATCTCGTCAGAGTCGGTGTCCGTGGTTGTGCGCTGACCCGCTGTTGCTGCGCCCTCTGGATGGTGGTGATCTGCTGAGCCACCACGGAGAGCACCTCCACGTCGATCCGGTTAAACTCGTCAAAGCAGGCCCAGGCGCCGGCACTGGGGGGGCACGGAGATAACCACCACGACCACCACCACAACAACAACCATCAGTATCACCACCACCATCAGTATCACCACCAACAACCATCAGTATCACCACAACAACCATCAGTATCACCACAACAACCAGTACTACCACCACCACCATCAGTATCACCACCACCATCATCAGTATCACCACCACCATCAGTATCACCACCACCATCATCAGTATCACCACCACCATCATCAGTATCACCACCACCACCACCACCAATATCACCACCACCACCACCAATATCACCACCACCACCAATATCACCACCACCATCAGTATCACCACCACAACAACCATCAGTATCACCACCACCACCATCAGTATCACCACCATCAGTATCACCGCAACCACCATCAGTATCACCACCACCACCACAACAACCATCAGTATCACCACCACCACCACAACAACCATCAGTATCACCACCACTACCACGACCACAACCACCATCAGTATCACCACCACCATCAGTATCACCACCACCATCAGTATCACCACCACCATCAGCATCACCACCACCACCATCAGTATCACCACCACCACCAGTATCACCACCACCACCACCAGTATCACCACCACCATCAGTATCACCACCACCATCAGCATCACCACCACCACCATCAGCATCACCACCACCACCATCAGTATCACCACTACCACCACCAGTATCACCACCACCACCATCAGTATCACCACCACCATCAGTATCACCACCACCATCAGTATCACCACCACCATCAGCATCACCACCACCACCATCAGCATCACCACCATCAGTATCACCACAACCACCACCAGTATCACCTAGCCACGCCCCACCTAGCCACGCCCCCTCTTAGCCACGCCCCACCTAGCCACGCCCCTCCTAGCCACGCCCCACCTAGCCACGCCCCCTCTTAGCCACGCCCCACCTGGCCACGCCCCCTGCTAGCCACGCCCCCTCTTAGCCACGCCCCCTCCTAGCCACGCCCCACCTAGCCACGCCCCCTCCTAGCCACGCCCCCTCCTAGCCACGCCCCCTCCTAGCCACGCCCCTCCTAGCCACGCCCCACCTAGCCACGCCCCACCTAGCCACGCCCCCGCCTAGCCACGCCCCCCCCTAGCCCCGCCCCCTCCTAGCCACGCCCCTCCTAGCCACGCCCCTCTTAGGCCCCGCCCCCTCTTAGCCACGCCCCTCCTAGCCACGCCCCTCCTAGCCACGCCCCTTCTAGCCACGCCCCTCCTAGCCACGCCCCCTCCTAGCCACGCCCCTCCTAGCCACGCCCCTTCTAGCCACGCCCCTCCTAGCCACGCCCCTCCTAGCCACGCCCCTCCTAGCCCCTCCTAGCCCCTCACCTGGCCAGGCCCTTGAGCAGCTTGCCCATGGCCAAGTAGTCGAGCTGGTCGGAGCAGTTGAAGACGACCGTCTGCACGGCCAGCGCCTTGCCCAGGTCCTTGGTGGTCTCCGTCTTGCCGGTGCCCGCCGGGCCGGCCGGGGCACCGCCAAACTTGAGGTGCAGCGCCCCCGTCAGGGTCAGGTAGCACCTGGTGGTGGTGACGGTGGTGGTGGTGGGGGTGGTGGTGGTGAAGGTGGTGGTGACGGTGGTGGTGGTGACGGTGGTGGTGACGGTGGTGGTGGTGGTGACGGTGGTGGTGACGGTGATGGTGACGGTGGTGATGGTGGGGATGGTGATGGTGGTGGTGGTGACGGTGGTGGTGGTGACGGTGGTGGTGACGGTGGTGGTGACGGTGGTGGTGGTGGTGACGGTGAAGGTGGTGACGGTGATGGTGGTGGTGACGGTGGTGGTGACGGTGGTGGTGGTGGTGACGGTGAAGGTGGTGACGGTGATGGTGGTGGTGACGGTGGTGGTGACGACAGTGGTGACGGTGGTGGTGACGGTGGTGGTGACGGTGGTGGTGGTGGTGACGGTGGTGGTGACGGTGAAGGTGGTGACGGTGGTGGTGGTGACGGTGGTGGTGACGACGGTGGTGACGGTGGTGGTGACGGTGGTGGTGACGGTGGTGGTGATGGTGGTGATGGTGACGGTGGTGACGACGGTGGTGGTGGTGACGGTGGTGGTGATGGTGGTGGTGGTGACGGTGGTGATGGTGGGGATGGCCGGGAGAGAAAGAAGTGGAGGTGAGTGTGTGTATGGGTGAGTGTATGGGTGAGTGGGTGAGTGGGTATGTGAGTTCGTGTGTGAGTGAGTGGTTGAGTGGTGGTGTGAGTAAGTGAGTGTGTGAGTGATTGGGTGTGTGAGTGAGTGAGTGCGTGAGCGGGTGGTTGAGTGAGTGGGTGAGTAAGCCGGTGAATGGGTGAGTGAGTGAGTCAGTGGGTGAGTGAGTGGGTGGGTGAGTGAGTGAGTCAGTGGGTGAGTGGGTGGATGAGTGAGTGGATGAGTGGACGGGTGAGTGAGCGGGTGAGTGAGCGGGTGAGTGAGTGAGCTGGTGAGCGAGTGGCTGAGTGGGTGAGTGAGCAGGTGAGTGGGTGGGTGAGCGAGGGGCTGAGTGGGTGAGTCAGTGGGTGACTGGGTGGGTGGATGAGTGAGTGGCTGAGTGCGTGAGAGTGCATGTGAGTCAATGGGTGACTGGGTGGGTGGATGAGCGAATGGCTGAGTGGCTGAGCGGGTGAGTGAGTGAGTGAGTGGCTGAGTGGGTGAGTGTGCCACCGCCCACCGTCGCTGCTCACCGATCGGTGAGTGGGGTGATGACAAGTCGCCCCGAGTTCCCCAGGTACTCGTAGCCATAGAGGAACTCAGCGTTCACGGCCCGCACAACCAGATCCTCCTGGCTCCAGTAGTACCTGGGGCACACACAGCCCAGAGACACACCCAGCCCAGAGACTCAGCCAGCCCATAGACTCACAAAGCCCAGACTCACACAGCCTATAGACCCACACAGCCCACAGACCCACCCAGCCCAGAGACCCACCCAGCCCCCCTTAGCCCCTGGCTACAGGGGGCTAGGGGGCTACCTGAGTTGGCTGATCCACTCAAAGTCGTTGGTGGAGGAGACGTCCTCCCGCACCAAGGCCCCCACCACGTCCTGGGCATGAACCTCCACCACGATGAGTGCGGAGAGCACGGCACGCTGGGAGCGAGTCAGCTCACCACGCACCAGCGCCACCAGCTCAGCCAGCTGAGGAGGGGGTGAGGGGTGAGGGTGAGACTCACCACACAGACACACAGACTCACCACACAGAGACCCACAGACTCACGATGAGTGCGGAGAGCACGGCACGCTGGAAGCGAGTCAGCTCACCACGCACCAGCGCCACCAGCTCAACCAGCTGGTCACGGGGAGAGGGTGAGAGTGAGACTCACCACACAGACACACAGACTCACCACACAGAGACCCACAGACTCACCACACAGAGACCCATAGACTCACCACACAGAGACCCATAGACTCACCACACAGAGACCCACAGACTCACCACACAGATACCCACAGACTCACCACACAGAGACCCATAGACTCACCACACAGAGACCCATAGAGACACACAGACTCACCACACAGAGACCCACAGACTCACCACACAGAGACCCATAGAGACATACAGACTCACCACACAGAGACCCACAGACTCACTACACAAAGACCCATAGACTCACTACACAGAGACCCACAGACTCACCATACAGAGACCCACAGACTCACCACACAGAGACCCACATACTCACCACACAGAGACCCACAGACTCACGACACAGAGACACACAGACTCACCAAACAGAGACCCATAGACTCACTACACAGAGACCCACAGACTCACCACACAGAGACCCACAGACTCACCACACAGAGACCCACAGACTCATCACGCAGAGACCCACAGACTCATCACACAGAGACCCACAGACTCACTACACAGAGACCCGCAGACTCACTACACAGAGACCCACAAACTCATCACACAGAGACCCACAGACTCATCACACAGAGACCCACAGAGTCACCACACAGAGACACACAGACTCACCACGCAGAGACCCACAGACTCACCATACAGAGACACACAGACTCACCACACAGAGACCCACAGACTCACCACACAGAGACCCACAGACTCATCACACAGAGACCCACAGACTCATCACGTAGAGACCCACAGACTCACCACACAAAGACCCACAGACTCATTACACAGAGACCCACAGACTCACTACACAGAGTCGGAGCCATTCCCTGTTCACTTTGGGGTGCGACAGGGATGTCCTCTGGCTCCAACATTATTTAACATCTATTTCCACCACGTAGTTCCTGACCCCTTCGATGGCTGCACCGGAGGAATTTCTATCTGGTACAGATAAAATGGGAGGCTGATCGATGGCCGGGTGCGGTCAAGGGATGGCTCCCTATTGGTCAACCACGTTATGTATGCCGATGATTTGGTAATAGCTGCTCATTTAGAAGAGGAGTTGGAGACGCTGCTGCTGAGACTGGAGCGTGCCACTAAGAGGTGGGGCCTTACCATCAGCCCCACCAAAACTAAGCACCTGCCTGGGTATTTTGTACCATCGGACACAACTCCCAATCGGTGATGGGGCAGTAGTGGAGAGAGTGGAGAGTTTCCCATACCTGGGCAGTGTGCTTATGACCGGCTCCGGTTTGACAGCAGAGGTCTCACTCCGAATCAGTCGAGCGGCAATATCTTTACATCGGATTGCGTAACGCTGTGTGGAAGCTACCTGGTCTGTCGCTCCACACGAAGCTTCAGGTCTTCTCGGCCACGGTCATTCCCTCCCTTCTCTACGCTTGCAAAACGTGGACCCCCCTAATGGAGCATCTTTACCGGTTAGAAACATTTAGGCTGGCCTGCCTACGATCCATCCTGGGTTTAACCAGGCTGGATTGTGTGAGGAGCTCACATATCCTTGAAAGATCTGGACAAAGTCCCATTGGTGAGCTCCTCCGGCAGGCAAGGCTGCGTTGGCTGGGTCATGTAGCCCGCATGCCCAGCCACCGCATGCCCAAACAGCTTTTGTTCGGCACGTTAGGGGGCACAGGTGGCACATCAGCCAGTCATCTCGGTCATCTCAGTCAGTCGACCCGTGGCACCTGCTGGGTCTGCCCCGGACCTATTGCCAGCGGGCATTCAACACTTCACGTGGCCTCAAGGTGCACATGGCCTGGCACAAGCGCCGTGGTGACGTCACCGCCACTTAGTGGCGAATGGCGGTTGTTGTTGATGGTGATGATGATGATGATGTTGATGATGGTGTTGATGATGGTGATGATGGTGATGATGATGATGATTATATCGGGGACTCGCCTGTCCAGCCAGCAGCGGAGTGAGCCTGGAGGAGAGCTCCCCGTCCTCGATGGAGCGGGTCACCTCCTGCGTCCAGAACGTCTGGCACCCGGCGATGACGATCTGCCCGGGCCACTGAAGCACCCAGCTGCCTCGGGGGGTCTGTGGGAACACGACGCAGAGTGGGGACAAGCCCTGGCTCGCTCACCAGCTCGCTCACCCACTCACTCACTCACCAAATCACTCACCCGCTCACTCACTCACTCGCTCGCTCACCCACTCACTCACTCACCAGCTCACTCACCAAATCACTCACCCACTCACTCACCAGCTCACCCACCCGCTCACTCACCAGCTCGCTCACCCACTCACTCACCAGCTCACTCACCAACTCACTCCCTGACTAGAGAGAGAGACAAGCCCTGCCTATAGAGAGAGTGGGTGAGTGAGTGAGTGGGTGAGTGAGTGAGTGAGTGGGTGAGTGAGTGAGTGAGTGGGTGAGTGAGTGAGTGAGTGGGTGAGTGAGTGAGTGAGTGGGTGAGTGGGTGAGTGAGTGAGTGAGTGAGTGGGTGAGTGGGTGAGTGAGTGGGTGAGTGAGTGAGTGAGTGAGCGAGTGAGTGAGTGACCTGGTGAGTGTCTGAGTGAGTGAGTGACCTAGTGAGTGAGTGAGTGAGATGGTGAGTGAGTGAGTGAGTGGGTGAGTGAGTGAGTGAGTGGGTGAGTGAGTGAGTAGGTGAGTGAGTGAGTGGGTGAGTGAGTGAGTGAATGAGTGGGTGAGTGGCCTAGTGAGTGAGCGAGCGAGTGAGTGTGTGAGTGGTGAGTGAGTGGTGAGTGAGTGAGTGGGTGAGTGAGTGAGTGAGTGAGCGAGTGACCTAGTGAGTGAGTGGGTGAGTGAGTGAATGGGTGAGTGAGTGGGTGAGTGAGTGAGTGAGTGAGTGACCGAGTGAGTGAGTGAGTGAGTGAGTGAGCGAGCGAGTGACCTAGTGAGTGGGTGAGTGACCTGGTGAGTGAGAGGGTGAGTGAGTGGGTGGGTGGGTGAGTGAGTGAGTGAGTGACCTAGCGAGTGAGTGAGTGAGTGACCTCGCGAGTGAGCGAGTGAGTTTGTGACCTAGCGAGTGAGTGAGTGAATGAGTGACCTAGCGAGTGAGTGAGTGAGTGAGTGACCTAGTGAGTGAGTGGCCTAGTGAGTGAGTGAGCGAGCGAGTGTGTGAGTGAGTGAGTGAGTGGGTGAACGAGTAAGTGAGTGAGTGAGTGGGTGAGTGTGTGAGTGAGTGAGTGAGTGGGTGAGTGACCTAGTGAGTGAGTGAGTGGGTAAGTGGGTGAGTGAGTGAGTGAGTGACTGAGTGAGCGAGTAGTGAGTGACTCACGGTGGGGTAGGCAGCGAGTGAGCGAGCGACGCCATCCCGCACGCTGTCCCTCATGACGCGTTCCACCTCCAGCAGCCAGTCCTCCACGTTGCCACGCGGCGCCAGCGGGCGCACCAGCTCCACGCGCTCACCCTCGCCACTCACCATGTGGGTGATGAGCAACTCGTGCTGCTGCTGCTGCTGCTGCTGCTGGAACACCAGCTGCAACACACACAGACTCATCACAACACTCATCACCACACTCATCACCACACACTCACCACACACACCACACACACCACGCACTCACCCTCGCCATGTGGGTGATGAGCAACTCCTGCTGCTGAAACACCAGCTGCACCACACACACACCACCACCACACTCACAACTCACACTCATCATCACACACACACCACACACACACGCTCACCCTCACCACTCACCATGTGGGTGATGAGCAACTCCTGCTGCTGTTGCTGAAACACCAGCTGCACCACACACACACCACCACCACACTCACAACTCACACTCATCATCACACACACACACCACACACACACGCTCACCCTCACCACTCACCATGTGGGTGATGAGCAACTCTGCTGAAACACCAGCTGCAACACACACACACACCACACACACACACCACACACACTCACCACCACACACACCACACACACACCACACACACCACACACACTCACCACACACACTCACCACCACACTCCCCACCACACTCACCACACACACTCACCACCACACTCACCACACACACACACCACACACGCCACACACACTCACCACCACACTCACCACCACACTCACCACACACACTCACCACCACACTCACCACACACACCACACACTCACCACAAACACTCACCACACACACTCACCACACACACTCACCACACACACTCACCACCACACTCACCACCACACTCACCACACACACTCACCACCACACTCACCACACACACACACCACACACACACACCACACACTCACCACACACACTCACCACCACACTCACCACACACACTCACCACCACACTCACCACACTCACCACACACTCACCACACACACTCACCACACACACACCACACACACACTCATCACCACACTCACCACACATTCACACACACACTCACCACACACACACACCACACACACACACTCACCACCACACTGACCACACTCACCACACACTCACCACCACACACACACATACACAACACACACCACACACACACACCACACACACTCACCACCACACTCACCACACACACTCACCACCACACTCACCACACACACACACACCACACTCACCACACACACACCACACACTCACCACACACACTCACCACACACACACCACACCCACCCTCATCACCACACTCACCACACACTCACACACACACTCACAACACACGCTCACCACACACACACCACACACACCACATACCACTCACACACCACTACACTCACCACCACACACACTACACACACCACACACAGACACACACCACACACACACACACTCACCACCACACTCACCACACTCACCACACACTCACCACCACACTCACCACCACACACACATACACAACACACACCACACACACACACCACACACCCCACATACACACCACACACACCACACTGTGTGGTGATGGGCACTTACGCTGGCGATGTTCTCGAAGCACACACCACACACACCACACACACACACCACACACACACATCACACACACCACACACACACACCACACACACACCCCACACACACCACACACACACCCCACACACACCACACACACACCACACACACACATCACACACACACCACACACACCACCCACACACCACACACACACCACACATACCCCACACACCCCACACACACACACACACACCACACACACACACCACACACACACCACACACACCACACACACCACACACCCCACACACACACCACACTACACACCACACACACACACCACACACACCACACACACCACCACACCACACACACCACACACACCACACACTCCACACACCACACACACACACGACACACCACCACACACACCACACACACCACACACACACCACACACACACCACCACACACACCACCACACACACCACACACACATAACACACACACCACACACCACACACACCACACACACACCTCACACACACCACACACACACCACACACACCACACACACCACACACACTACACAACACACACACCACACACACCACACACACACCACACCACACACACCACACACACCACACACACTACACACCACACACACCACACACATCACACACCGCACACACACCACACACACCACCCACACACCACACACACCCCACACACACACACCACACACACACACCACACACACACACACCACACACACCACACACACCACACACACACCACACTACACACACACACACCACACACACACACCACACACACACCACACACACCACACACACCACCACACACACCACACACACCACACACACACACACACACTCCACACACCACACACACACACCACACACACCACACACACCCCACACACCACCACACACACCACACACACCACACACACCACACACACCACACACACCACACACACCACACACCACACACACACCACACACCACCACACACATCACACACACCACACACACACCACACACACACCACCACACACACCACACACACACCACACACACCACACACACCACACACACATAACACACACACCACACACCACACACACCACACACAACACACACCACACACAAACCTCACACACACCACACACACACCACACCACACACACCACACACACCACACACACCACACCACACACACCACACACACCACACACACACCACACCACACACACCACACACACTACACACCACACACACCACACACATCACAAATACACACCACACCACACACACACCACACACACCACGCACACCACACACACACCACACACACCACACCACACACACACTACACACCACACACCACACACACACCACACACCAGACACACATGATGACATTCACACCACACACACACCTCACACACACACCACACACACCACACACACCATACCACACACACCACACACACACCACCCACACACCACACACAATACACACACCGCACACACAACACACACACCACACACCACCACACACGCCACACACACCACACACACACCACACACCACCACACACCACACACACACCACACACACCACACACACCACACACACCACACACCACCACACACACCACACACACCACACACATACACACCACACACCACACACACCACTCACACCACACACATGATGACACTCACACTGGCGATGTTCTCGAAGCACTTGCGCAGGTGAGGCTGCACCGCCGTGGGGTCTTTGCTCTGGGACAGGATCTCCAGCAGCTCGTCGTCAGACAGGAAGTAGAACCTGCCGGGGAGAGACGCTCACCCAATCGCTCACCAGCTCACTCACCAACTCACTTACTCACTCACTCGCCCACTCACCCGCTCGCTCACTCACTCACCCACTCATTAGCCCACTCACTCACCCACTTGCCCACTCACTCACTCGCCCACTCACCCGCTCGCTCACCTGCTCACTCACCCACTCGCTCACCAACTCACTCACTCACCAGCTCGTCGTCAGACAGGAAGTAGAACCTGCCGGGAAGAGACGCTCACCAGCTCACTCATCAACTCACTCACTCACCCGCTTGCTCACTCACCCACTCACTCACTCACTCACCAGCTCGCTCACTCACTCATTCGCTCACCAGCTCACTCACCAGCTCACTCTCCCACTCGCTCGCTCACCCACTCGCTAACCCGCTCACTCACACACTCACTCACTCACTCACCTACTCACTCACTCACCCACCCACTCACTCACTCACTCACCACTCACCCACTCACCCACTCACCCACTCACTCACCACCTCGTCGTCAGACAGGAAGTAGAACCTGCCGGGAAGAGACGCTCACCCGCTCGCTCACCAGCTCACTCACCAACTCACTCACCAGCTC